AATGTATTTAAAAGACATTAACTTTGCTTTATGTATTAATTACTTCATTTTTCATAGCACTATTCATAAAATGTTGGATGTAAATGGGTTTCATTATAAAATACCGATTTTTTGGCTTGTTTATGGTCACAAAAATAAAAAATAAACACGTATTCATACCACTACTTTTAACTGAAAAGTTTGAATGTCTTATTTTTTCATGTTGTGTATATAATTGTATTGTTGTTCATGGTTCAACTTAAACAGATAATAGAATAAGTAAGTTTAATATTATTTTCATAATTTAATTTTGGAAAACTATCCTGTCCATTCTATCATTAATTTTCTTTTACCTCTTGAAGGTAGAATCTTTAAGATTCTGTGGTCCATGGTGTACTTTAAGTTCTATTTCCTTGAACTGGTTTTTAAAGAGTTACTTGTCCTTCTGGGAAGATGGCCTGTACTGGAATTTAGATTTCTTATGAATTTAGAATGCTTAGGCATTTTAATTCAATTTTTTTGTATATTGTTTCACTAAATTCACATTTATAATCGAAAGAAACCAAAAACTGTTAAAAAAGTATTGCTGTAGACTTTTGAATTGTTTTACATTCAGTATTGTAATTATTTAAAGATATAGTTAGTAATATTTTGAAAAAATAAGTTTAGTTTAGTTTAAACTTGAAATCTTGTGTTAAGTTGGGCAACATTTATATATCTGATTTCTCAAAATTATTATTACTATTGAAAACTGGAAAAACATTTTTTTTAGCTTTTCATTCTATTAAATTCATTTGCGGGTTACATATTTATAAATTTAACATAATTCATCAAAGTCTATAAATTGATACATGTATATGTTAAAAAAATAAATTGGTAGATGTATCTATTAAATTTTATGTATATGTGTATATATATATATATATATATATATATATATATTTTTTTTTTAAATAAATGTTTTAATATATTTCTCTTCATTATTTTAATCATGCTATTAGAAAATTATGTAACTACTGGTAGAATTAAAACAGTTTTAACACATTTGTACATAAGTACTTCTGAAAGACCTTCCAATGGGATCTGAACTTGTATGTTATATAATGAAAATTAGGAATTTTCTATATTATAATTATCAAGGTTATTTTGAGCTTTTATTGCGTGACCTATGACTTCGAAAATCCTATGGAATCTAATCTAGTCCATACTTTTTTTTTTATTATTAAATTATAAATATTATAATTATTAACATCTTTTAACTTTTCTGAGTGACAAGATTTGAGAGAAACACCCTTTGGTTTCTTTTTATTCTTTTTACAAACATATCTATAAATTCCTCTGAAAATTATATTAGTTTTCTTAGCAGTTCACGTAAGATAGAGACTTTAGAAATAGATTAAATAATTTAAAAAATCACATTATATATTGGCATTGTTTTCTGCTCCAATCTCACTAAAGTTAGAATACTTAGCACAGAAGATTCACCATATTTTTCCATGTCTAAAGAAACCAAATGATCTGTAAATCTAACATAATATATATATATATATATTTGGATGTCCAAGATCTTATATCAATACTGTGACCCCCAGGATAGAACCAATATATGGTACAATATCCTTTGAATTCATTTCATTTATAAATTTTAAAATACTAGTCAGGTGTGCAAAAATCGGAATATTAACATTGATCTCAAATGCCCCAGAGAGCTTCATGTTACTAAATCCTTCAATTAGTGAGCACAGCTCATAAATTTAATGAATTAATAATTACAAAATGACCAATTAATGTCGCCAACAATTCATAATTAAATTAAATATGAAAGTAAATCTTCCTTGTTATTACTTTATTCAATAAACTTATGTAGATTTCATATAGACCTTTTTCTATATTAGGGTCCATACCATTATTATACTTAGAATTTTACTGCCTTCTATTATCAATTGGTCATTAATAATTAACTCTGCAGTATAATATTTTTTTTTTTTATATGAGAATGTTATATTTCTATGCCTCATTTGCTACAAAAATCCACTGTTAAGTGTTCTGTTTTTATCCACTCTAATAATAATTTGTCATTAATATTATTAACTGTAACTAAAAAAATTCAAGGTAAAACTGATTTAAACCAATTTTAATGTTACACTGTTTTCTTTAATTCTGAAATTAAGACCTTTCTCTTCTTTTCTTCTCTCTTAAATTTTTTTTTGTAATTTAAAAATGTCTATAATTATGATCTATTTTTTTAGTCCATATCTATTATTCAAATTATATATGATTAAATTATTAACAATATATTTTTTTTTTCAAATTTATCAATTTTTTAGTATGAGTTCTGAAAGTCTTATAACCTGTTTTTATGAATTTTTTTTAGGTAGACATTTTTTTCTAACTTAATAGGGCAAAAGTTTTTGAACACATATTTCATCTAAAATCTATTCTTCCTGAACTTTGTTTTATAAGCCCCCAAAAAATGTTAATGTGACATTAATAATAAGTTATTAATAACTTTCTTGCCTACCAGCTTCCGGACTGTACTGTATCATCCGACTCCCGGATTGTACTGTAACAGCCGCATTGACAATGTGCTGATTAGAGGAATGTTTTTGTTAAAAATATCTTGGAAATGATTGTTAGGGGTCAGTCAATGTGAATGAAACCTACATTTACTTTATTTTATTTTATTTATATCCTTGCCGATGTTTCGACCCACATTTTAAATTATCATTACGGCTAAAATATAATGAGGAAAGTGAAGAGGATGTAGTTCTTGATACAGATAAGGCGTACCTTGTGCAAAGATATGTTTGATTGATTAATAAAACAAGGTTGTAAGATGTCATTGTACTTATTGTTTACTCTTGTTTATCAGACATCTTGTAGATAAATACACTCTTCTAGATTCCTGGAAACAATTGCCTGAGTCCTGTCCTGTAGGCTTCTATTAGATCTTGCTTTACACTTACATTGTTTTATATAGAATTAAATATCTTGGTTGTTTGAAATTTAGAATATTTATGCTTCATAAAAAAAAGTCTGTAGACTCTATTTTCCTTTTATATTTTTACAAATAGTTTTCAGGACGTTGTATAAGGCATTTTTATCAGGTTGTATCAAATAAAAAATTCATTTTTAGAGATGGAATTAATAAAATGTGAGTGAATACAAGAATAATAATTAATTTTAGCAGAGATTTAATTTTTAAATGTTAGCACTGGCCCATTGTTCTATACAGTTTATGACTATTAATTTCAAGATTTATCTTGCAAAACATTTATTGTTATAAATTAAATTTTTTAGTAATGATCGAATCAAGTACATCAAACTAATTAAATTTTATTCAGTCAGAACATTAAAGGTATTTAATGGTTCGAAACAACAATTTTATTGACCATAAAAAACTATAAATCTGTATTGTACTCTATTCATAGATCATATTTATGTTGTCTATTGTTATTAGGAAAACATTTAAGGAATATAAACAAAATAATTTTTATCAATCTTTCTAAAAATAAAAATTATTATAATGTGTAAAAAATCATAATAGTTACATTAATTCATGTTAAATTCTCCCACTTCTCTATTTTTATTTTGGTTCCATAGATTATTCAATTAATAACAATTTTTTCAACAAATTTATTTGACCAGAATATGTATACAGTTGAGCATAGCTTATTTATTCATTATTTTTTAAAAATTAATTTTCATAAAAATTTATTCTTAAATAATATAATATATTATTATATTATATTATATATTATATTATTAAAAATATATATAATTTTTAACATAAATAATATTAAGTATTTTTTATTTAATTTTACAAATTAATTATAATTTTAAAAAACAAGTTATGTATGATTTATATTAATTGATTTCATTGGATTCTAATATGAATAAAAAAATGAATTTTAAATATTTAATTTGTTTACATTTTCATTATTGTGAGGGTATTGATTGGTTTTTCTTATTTTTATTGAGAATTTTAACAATTAATTCACTTCATATTTTGTTATAAATTATTGTATATAATTGTAATAAGGAAGGCCACTGAAGTAAAAATGCAATAATCCGTAGTTTCATATTTTATTCTCATTAACAGTAATATATTTATTTATGGCATTGATAATGTGCTTAACATGGCTGAAAAGTGAGACAATTTAGTTAATTGTAGATGATTTAATTATTTATTAATAATTATATTAGTTAATATAGATATAGTTAATATTAGTTAATAAATATTAAAATAAATCAATTTATTGAAGACGAATATGAACATTAGAACCCATTTTTGTTTTATTTTCATTATGTAATTAGTTTCACCTGTTAATTAAGGACTCTTGAAGAAGCTCAAGTATGATTCTCTGGTTTACTTGTAGCTTACATTTAAATCTCGTTATCTCCTCTTTGACACTTGCCATCAGTTATTGATTTTTTTTATTCAACTTATTAAACTCATTACAGTCGTCTACATTACAACATTGGTACTTATTGAAGAGTTATTTAGTTCGTTACTATGTTAACTGTATCGGTTATTAAGTTGCTAATATCAGGTTGTAATGCGTAATCCTCCTTAAAGAGAATATAGAAATATCCTTGGAATTGTTCAGGTGATTTATTGTAATTATAACTATTTTTAAAATAACATTATCCAAGCTTTTTATTTGCCACCTTCTGTCATATTTAAGTGTTGGTAATTTAATTTAATGCATATTATTTCACATTTTTTCTTCTTCTCTGCTTTGCTTTTATTAGTTGTTTTTTATATCTTTATTGTTAATTTGGAAATATTAAATATCGATAGATCTGTTGCCCTCAACTAATTTATTTAAGTTTTATGTTTTTATTATTTCGGGTGCTTAAAATATTGACTGTGCTATAGCCCAAGAAGATCTTTTTATTTTCCTTTGTTTTTATAATGCATGACAACCACAAGGGTCTACTGTGTGCCATGTTCTAAGCCGTTTTATGTTTAAATGTTAATTTAGTCTCTTCTGCGTATCTTAATAGACTTGTATGGTTGATAGGGTACCTTTAGAAGTCTGCCACTCGACCCTTTTCAAACAGCTCGAGTCTGAGCCTTGTAAACCTATCACACTGACAAGCAATGTGAAAGGCTGTTTCGTTTACATCATGGCAGAATCGATGTAATGGATTCCTAGTCAGAGATTGTGCATATGATAGTTTAACTTAACGGTGTCCAGTGTAGATCGCTGTAATCTTTTTAAGTGCTGCTCTATGTAAACTAAGTAGCAGCTTGCTCCTTTAATCGCATGGCCCTTCAAGGAATACCTTCGAATGCTGCTGTACTTTATGAGGCATGTAATGCTTACATATAACTCCCTAATTTTTCTTTTGGCAGTTCTTAGACTAATTCCACATACAGATCCAGGAGTTATGGGAAAAAATGAGATCTTAGTTGTCAGTGAAACGGTGCCTGGATATAAAATAAATTTTCATAGGTAAATTAAAATATATAAATTGATCAGACTGTAGGGTTTGGGAAGAGGATCATTGTGACTGGTTTCATTTCATGTCTTTTATGTTTATTCTACTCTTAAAAGAAGAAAATCCGTAACTCATGGTCTCTAGAAGAGATTTTGGTTTCAGTTATACGACTTCAATTGGAATTGTTTAGAATGGATTTCTATCTTGTTTATAGTTAAATTGAGATACTGTATTAATACTACAGATATTGTTCCCAGTACAGCATAACGGAATGAGTGCAGTTTCAAAATGAATATTACAATGCTTTAAAGATGAAATTTCTCAAAATCAGTACATGGGCTCCACTTCATACAGACATCCTTCAACAACACTTAACATCCACATATCAAGTGTTCTGGTTATCAATAAAAATAATTGGACATTTTTTATGCATGATAATATGATGCCACAAGTTGTAAGCGTTGTTCATTGTCTTCTTCAAAACTTTTTAGTGCTGGGATATAGTTCTAGTTTACTTTAGTAAAAATAATTCGGGCTGATCTAGGGGTTTTTGTCAAGATTAGACCAAACTTTCATAGAACGATTAAATATTCCAAATATGCTCTTTAGAAACTCGATTTAGAGAGAAAATCTTGGATGATTCATGGTATGATCTGGTTTCATCTCCATGGTCTTTAAATATTTTTCATACAATTTCTACTCTAAATGATAATTAAAAGTCTTAGATTAACTTTAAAAAAAAAACAGTACAGTGGTTGTAAGTTCCAAAATAAGCATATGATAAGCCTAGCTCTTGAGTGTTAGCAAACGTAAGATTACATGACAAACTTTCCCTAAAATCTTCTTGAATCATCATGATAAACATTGTACTTAGTGAGTTTATCCTCTATAAACAAAAAATATTTTTAATTGAAAGTATAATATTTAAAAATAAACTTTATTTTTTATTGTACAAGTATGATTTTTATTAAAAAAACAAAACAATACCTAATTTCTTATAGGTTAGCTTGGAAAAGAAGACTGGAACTATAGTTTATAATCCGAGACAAACATCACCAGAAATTTTGAAAGAAGCTATTGAAGATATGGGTTTCGAGGCGAACCTTCCTGTTAAATATAAAAATGTAACTGTCAATATTGAAGGAATGACTTGTCAATCCTGCGTCCGGAACATAGAAGGCAATATTTCTGAAAAATTAGGAATTATAAGCATCAAGGTAAGTAATACTAGTAGATATTTTTTATTGATTCCAAATATCTTCAACCATACTGGTTTAAAATTTATAATAAAAATCTAATGTTATTTTAAATTTTTAACTGCACAAATCAATGATATATGATTAAGTGTTAATATTGAGTTTCAGAAATCAAATTTTATATTTAAATTTTTCAAAAATTATCTCAATGGCCTAACACTATTTTTTAATATATTGAGTTCATGAATAAATTTAATCAGTAGATTTTAAATTAATGATCGCTATAGAATTTAAAGAGGAAATGGGGTAGTTCAATTGTAGGGCTCTGTGCTTCCAATGCTCAAGGGCCCAGGTTCGAATCCCACTTATGGTAGATAAATTATTAATTCTGTTTCATCACCCTGGGGTCAGGAGACCCTTCTGGGACCCACACAGACTCTATAACGTAGGTACCCTTAATTGAATAATTGATTAAAGGGAGAAAACCTGATGGCGGAGTGTGATTTCCCTCAAATCACCTCCTTACACAACTGTTAACCAAGAAACAGAATCTTCCCTACGTAGTATTGAGCCCAAGACCCTTCATGGGTTGTAGTGGTACAATTTGTTTTATAGTCTTTAAAGTATTTTCAAATGTACGTATTATATTGAAATAACATGAATTTTATTATTTTCTTCCAGGTTTCATTAGAAAATAAACAAGGTTATGTTACGTATGATCCTTTGCAAATTGATTCGCATGCTATATGTGAGGCTATCGAGGATATGGGCTTTGATGCAAGTTTAGCTTTGATCAGCGACCAACCAAACGATTGTAGAATATCTGTTGAAGGAATGACATGTAACTCTTGTGTAAATAATATCAAAGGTAAAACCAGATTCTTTAATTTTTGTTTTTTAATTCTATAAAATGCTATAAACTTTCAATTATCCATCATTCTGTCGATTTTTCTAATCTTCTTGGTAAGCAGCTAAGAATATATTTTAAAAAATGTAGCTTTAAACTTATTATGAATGTCCTAATATAGCCATTCCTTGATAAAAAAAAATAACTTTTTAAATTACAAAATATCTATCTTTTCATAATTATAGTAATATTTTTTTATCAAATTCAGTTGAATAGTGGGAAGTGATGGTAGTGTAAAACACCGCTGTTAATAAAATATACTCTCCGTAATATTAAATATTACAACAATGAATGGGACCAAAGTTTATATCAATTTAAAGGTTTTTCTCCATTGAATTAGATATTAAGATATTAATTAATAATTATGTTATTAATAATTGTAACCATTAAAATATTTTTCTATATCCAGAAACAATATCAAAAAAGGATGGTGTGCGGTCTATAGATGTTAGTTTAGAAAGGAAAGAAGCAACAGTTAGATATTTTCTGAAAAAAATAACACCCGAAGCCATTGCTACAGCCATCTCTGATATGGGATTTGATACATCACTCTTGGAAGTAAATGGTCTGAAATATAAAGGTACTATAATAAACAAATTAAGTTTATTTAGTTATGATTATTACAAGTATTATGTAGTAGTGTACAGTAAAACTTTTCTTATTTGACATATTTTCCCTCTCACTTAAGAGACACTTATAAAATATAAAAATTAAACGAACCTTATTTAATAGTTTTATGTTTTTATAGTATATAAATTTGTATGTACATTTAAAATTTAATTAAGAATTAAATTCGAGTATTAATTTTTAGGCCTAATCAAAATATAATAGTTATTTTTCATTAAAAAAAAAAAATTTTAATTTAGATAGTTAAAATTAATTGTTAAATTATGGAATGTAAGGAAATTCATACATTGCAGTAAAGAATAATTATTAATTTATGACATATTAGCTTGAAGATGATTATGACAGAGTCAAGCTTATTCAGTTAATTACTAGTCATAAAATAATTATCATTATCTCTTATTGAGCAATTTCTTCAGGATATAAATAATTTAATTTTTTATCAGTTTTTTTTTTTTTTTGGTCAAATCACTTTATTTTGCTTGAGATTAGCGCAAGAAATATGAAAGTAATTTCATGCATTTTACTCAGCATAATCTTTGTAAAAATTAATCATTAATAATATATACAATAATTTATTTACATATATGAGTACAGTTGGAAACTTTATAGGGTGAAGTCAGTAAGAGAAAGTATGGGGAAAGTAATATATAATTATGTAATGATTAGTAAAATCAATTTTATTTAAGAAAAAAAAAAATTTTTAAAAAAATTCCTTTTAGTAATTATATTTTAGACAATAGACTATCACATACTTTCTGAATAATAAAATAATGGTTTATAAATATTACAGTTAATTCAATTTTAGCATATTCACAAACATAAACATTTTTATGAATAGAAGGAAGCAAAATGTTTTAACACATTTTGAAACAACAACTAATTAAAGATCAAATATTTGGATAAAATATAATTGTTTACATTAGCAGTTTATTTGTTAGCATATCATATCAATTAGGATGTTTCATTAACCAAGTTGTAATAATAGGTATTTTCATTTTCATTGTGAATAAAATTGAACTGCTTTCAATTCGCTATTACTAGTCTAGTCTCAAGCAAGATAAAATGTTTTGAATCATATTTTTATACCTTTACCACTTACAACCTATGAAGGGTTTCCTCCTTTATTAATTATTTAATCAAGAGTACCCACTTTATAGAGGCTGGGTGTGTCCCAGGAGGGTCTCCTGGCCCCAGGGTCGACCCTCGGCCGATGAAAAATTGATTTTGATGATTGAAAAATTGATATTATTTTGATACAGAAAAACAAAATAATGCTCAAAAATAAAATTATTTTTCTTTTTATTTTATCTCCAAAAATAATTTTTATAAAACAATTTTTTTGTCAAATAAATTATAGTTATTCTAGATAATAATCAAAATATTCTCATTTTTAATTCCTAGTAGAAATATATCTTGAAGTTATTATTTTTTAATTAATAATAACGGCAATCGTGTTATTAACAGCACCCTCATCACATTAAAAATTTTTGTTTTTCTTTCACTTAATATTTCTTCACTAATGAAAGATTTATTCTGCAGTGTGAATTGGGAACAAACATTTTTTTTTACGAAGTATTATTTCTTCTCTTCTCTTGGCAATTTACATAAAGATCCTTTTTCCTCTACTCATTATATTTTATTTTAAATCCTATGTGCTTCTGTCACTTTAGTTCTTGTAACTTAAAACATTAATCAGAGCATAAATTTCTCACAGTGAAGGAAAGTAGATAAATATCGCACAAAAATAATTTATTTTGAGACATACATAACGGACACAACTCTGGAATGGAAAATCTGTTGGACCCTAGCTGCCTGTTTTCACTGTTATCATTTTATTTGCTTCCTGTAACTTTAGAAATTTAAACATGCAAGGTAATACGTAATACATATCATTTGTGATGATTTCAGAAAAAAACAAAAAAGTAGTAGCAAATAATTTCAGTAAAAATAACAACATTCCTCAAGATTCGGAAAAGTGTTTTTTACATATAAAAGGTATGACCTGTGCATCTTGTGTGGCAGCTATTGAAAAACACTGTCACAGAATTAGAGGTTAGTATATATAAAAAAATATTATTATTTTTTTAACAAACATTTTTATCAATCTGTTCAGTCAGATATAAATACTAATATTTTTTTTAAAATGTTTAATATTTGATTAATATTAATTACATGGTAAAAATCTTATTTATTTATAGGTGTTCATAGCATCGTAATTGCTCTGTTAGCGGCCCAAGCTGAAGTCAAATATGATTCTAATGTAATAAGTCCTCAAGACATAGCCAATTCCATAACTGATTTAGGTTTCCCTTCTTCTGTTATTGATAAAGGAGGTTCTGGAGATGGGCAAATAGAAGTTATGGTAATTTTTTAAAAATGTTTTTATATGAAAATCTGTCTATTACTTCCGTTTTTATCAATCTCCATGGTTTGCTCTCAAATCATAAAAAAAAACTATATATATGACACTTTTCTCTTATTTTATCATGGTTTAGGACGATGATTCATTATTCATAAATTTTTGACTAATTAGTAATGTGCAAATTATTTTCTAAATTAATTAATCTGAGTTTTATTGTTCTTAATGGGGAAAGCTGTTGATTGTTCTTATTAATCATTTGTCTTATCATTAATATTTGATTAGACATTTTTTAAATTAATTTTCATTAAGCATGTAATTATTAAGATTGCTTAACCTCAATTTGTGTTTGTTTTTTAATATCTGCTCAACCCTAAATAATATTTATTGGCCTCTTTCTGATATCAGTTTTTTAACATCATAAAAAAAATTTGAATTTATTTCAACAATAATTTTTAAAAATATTCCGGTATGCTAGTTTTCAAAATTTAAATGTGGATTTTATTAATATTGTTTTGTTTTTTAAACAGTTTATTAAATTTATTATGTTTTTTTCAGATTGGAGGAATGTCTTGTTCATCTTGTGTTAACAAAATCGAACAACGGGTAAAGAAATTGAAAGGAGTTCTTTCAGCTTCTGTAGCTCTCACAACACAGAGGGGCAAATTTACATTTGATCCGGGCGAATTAGGACCCAGAGATATTCTCGAAACTATTGAAAACTTGGGATTTACAGCAAGCATTCTTTCCAATAAAGATAAAGAATCTAGGTCATATTTAGACCACAGGTTGGTTTTATACTTAAAATTATATGTTTGTGAATAATTTATTTTTATATTATATATAATTAATCATCATGATATTTTTCAATACTATTGGTAAGTATTTTAGTGTTTTGTAATAAATTTAAGTAGTTGAGAAATAATATACTGGATTCATTCAAGACATTAGAGAGTAGAAGGGAGAGAGTTATTATATAAGTATATACAACGTACATTCACCCAAGCATACAGAAGTATGCGAAATGATTATGCTCTTTTTTTTCTCTTTGGTTTCATAAGTTTATTTAATTTATGTTCTTATTCTCTATTTTATTTTATTTTTCAAATGGTGTTGAGCACAACTGTTATAAAATCACCTTTTGACGAATTTACCTTAGTTTGCAAAATAATAACAAAATCAATATTATATTATTATGATTATTGCACCAGGATATTATTTATTTAGTAAAATCATTTAAGTTTAGGGTGCTTATAAGCAAACAGACATAGTTTAGGGATTATGAAAAAATATATATATATATATATATATATATATATATATATATCTAGAAGATTATTTAGAAGATAGTATTTATACGTAGTTAATTTTTTCTTCTTATTTTCAAACCTCTATATATACTCCAATTAAATTAATTTAATACAACACATACTGCTGGGTATGTGTTGTATATATATATATATATATATATATATATATATATATATGTGCGAGTATTTATATTTTTGCTGCACCCAGCAGTATGTGTTGTATTAAATTAATTTAATTGGAGTATATATAGAGGTTTGAAAATAAGAAGAAAAAATTAACTACGTATAAATACTATCTTCTAGATAATGCGTAACCAGTAAATTTATTCATTAGCCCAAATACCATTCTATACTTGTTCATTTTTTGTTTACTTATGTAAATTATTTGGGGTACACAATCCAATACAAAATTTGATAATGCAAATATTGATTTAAATTAGACTAACAAAAGATACAAATAAGGATTCACTATGTTATTTCGGAGTCAATAATCTTTTCAAGGACTTCTAACCTATAATTTATTTGTAACTTCCTGTTATGAGTTACAATTTCATACTTATTTACTGTGGTCCATTTTCATTTAAAAAAATTGGACTAAATAAGTTATTTTTTAAATGTTGGAAAATGGAAATAAGTTTAATCCATCCATTCTTTAACTTGGTTAAATCATTAGAGGCTATTGTAGTTTTATTAGTTTGTAGACAAACTTTTTGTTGTTTTCGTGGTCCTAGTTTTTAAATCAAGATATTTTTTAAATCTAATTATTCATTAAGACATTCTAAGCAGATTTAAAAAAATACAATATCACTTATAAATGTCTCCCAGGATAATATATATATAAAGCCCTTATAGTTTTACTTTTTATTAAATTTTTAACAACGCTTCGAGCAGTTTGCTCATTCTCAAGTTATCAAAATCTCCCTCCCCCCCCCCCAAAAAAAGCAATAAATTCCAAAGTCTTTTTATTATATTATTCTATTATATCTTATTTCTGGTCTACAGAAATACAAATCACCACATTCCTCGCATTTTGTATAATACTTGTCAATTTAAACTCAGTACTACCTTCTACTATGAGTTTATTATAGATTTGTAAGTTTTAATAAGTATTTGTTAGTGCTCTTGAAAAACCTTCTATCAAAGTAACTAAATATACACAAATCACATTTTCATTGTCAACTTGTTTCATTACTTCTTTTCCTCATCTCTTAGATTTAATTTTTTCTAAGATTCAGATTTATGTTTTCTATTTATTTATTTAATTCTTTTATTATCAAATATAGATCTATTTTTTCTCTTCGAAGCTAGTGATTTGAATCTCGTAAGCATTTGTGTGATTATTATTTTAATAGGATTTTCAATAAATTAAAAAAATATACTATAAACTTTTGAGTAGAACTTCTGATTCCCGTATTTTTATGAAGATCATTTTGGTGCTTTTGAATTATTTAAGTACATTTCACAAAAAATAGAGGATATAAATAAAATAATGGTGATTGGAATGAGCAAATAATTGAGGAAATCTATTTGTAAAATAGAATATTACTTTTAAGTTCATTAATTATTAGTGTTTATTAAGCCTAGTGCGCACTAGTTGACATTCTATGCAATTTTTGTGTCTGAGACGTCTCAGTTTGTCTACGTAGACATGTCTATAGACTGATTCCCGTCGACAGGGCTGTTGTGAGACCAAAAATCGCAGATCTAAAGTCTCCCGATCAGAATGGAAGACATTAGGGAATGTTAGACATATTACGCAACATTTTGATAGTGTGGATGTCATTCGGCGTCTAGAGGTGAGACACGTACCAGTCTGCCTCCACCTACTGAGTTGTTGGTTCGGCTGTTTACAGTTATTTTATATAGTTTTACAGTTAATTTACAATTAGTTGAAAACTTATAGTCTAATGACAAAGTTTTAAAACTAATTGAAGATTACCATGACGTCTTCCAGTCTTTATTTATTTAATAATGCATTACCAAACTAGGTCCTTCTGTGAGCACTTTGTGCATCCACCAATGCTTATGTTTTCGCGTTCTTTCACTTGTAATTAGCACAAAGCAGGAACTCATTCCATCCAAAACTATGTTCTCAATGAAACTGAGAAATTCACATTATAGTGTGGATGTTAGACGAGACAAAGAATGGTGTCTATAGACCGTGTCTCGATACCCTCTCTAGGCAGCCTATAGACAAATCACTTAACATTGTCTACTAGTGTGTACTAGGCTTTAGTCTCTATGAATAAATTATTTGTTAAATTTTAATAATTTAATTAAACTAAATTATGAATATTGTGTTTTAGAGATGATATTAACAGATGGAGGAGATCATTTATTATATCTTTGATATTTGGTGGACCTTGCATGATTGCCATGTTATATTTCATGGCCGTTATGTCCCTCGATCATGAAGCTCATAGCAATATGATATATATCTGTCCTGGTTTATCTTTGGAAAACTTTATTATGTTCATTCTGTCGACACCTGTTCAGGTAAGCAAAACTTTTTTTATATTATCTTTTTAGTGATCATTCATGTTTAATTGTTAAATTTTATTTTTTCTTCTTCTCTGACAGTAATTCTACAAGGAGAGCCTTTTATTAATGATGCTACTCTCTATGGTTAAATTCCTAGGATCTAGTATAAAAATTTTAAAAGTACTATTTTTAATTTTCGATAAACGTTTTGCTGATAACTCAAAATGATTAGAAATAGAAGCATTATTAATATAGGAAATTTGATGATTAAGAGATACAGACATATTTTGTGATTATGTTTAACCACACCGAGTTAAATTTATTTCATTAATAATAATCTCTCTAATGGTATAACAGTTAACTATATTAAATAAAATTGAAGAAAGCAAATCGCTATATTCTTAAAACTTCTTTAAATAAAATTCCTGATTCAGAATCGATACTAATACTTAGAAAATCCTTACTAGATTAATCTATTTGATCTCCCCAATCATCCTTCTCTTCATTATTCACGACAGTCAACCATCAACCCACAATTATGAATCTATTTAATATAATAATGTAGAGATGGTTGACCGTGATATAATTTGAGGAGTTGGTTGGGGTGACCAACTCAGCGTAGTATTATTAGGGAAACGTCGGCGAAACAATTAAAAATAGTACTTTTTAAAAATTTAGTATTTATTTGACGGCACCCCCTGACCAGCTCCTTCTCATATTTAATATAATAGTTCTACACCTTTCTTATATCTAGTTAAAGTTGGGAAAACTGTATTCCTTTGGATCCCATCTTCTTTTTTTTTTTTTTTTAATGTTTGCTGAAGGAAAAATAGCTCAGAAGTTGTTTGATTTTTTAGCCTAAAAATCATTATAATATCATTCATTTTTTTATTGACTAATTTCTATAATGGCAGGCACAGTTTTCAGTATAGTAAGTTTGGTAATACTCATTTACTCACTTAATGATATTTTCTTTTTCTAGCTGCACATTTAAACGACCGATCAAAACAGAATTTATTACTAGTATTTTTAGAAAGAAATTATTCATTATAATCAGTCATTTTTATAAAAAATATTTTCATTAATAATTCAATTAGACATGTTAATGAATTTACTCAAATAGCTGTAAGAAATTTTTAAAAATATTTAAACGAGTTTTGAATTGAAGTTCTCTAAGTAATATGTTTCTTTTTTTAAAAATATTCTTACTTGTTTTTAAAGTATATTGTACCATAATTAATGCAATTATTTCAGTTTTTTGGTGGATGGCATCTCCACGCTGGAGCGTTAAAGGCATTGAAGCACAGAACAACTAATATGGATGTGTTAGTTTCCATGGCGACTACTGTATCTTGGGTATATTCTGTCATTGTTCTTGCCGTAGCTATGGCCTACCAACATCGGTACAGCCCTCAGACATTTTTTGATACGCCTCCGATGCTTTTTGTTTTTATATCACTTGGGCGTTGGTTGGAGAGTGTTACAAAGGTAAATGTTCCATTTCAACCTAACTAATTTGTTGTTTAATTACAATTATTAACTTTAGGTGAATTTTATTTGTTTTAGGTATTATTGTTTATTTACTATCTTTGTGCTTTTATTGGTTAGAATCACTTTCTATCTAATCTATTAAATTTGTCATGATATCATTAAAAAATGCAACTTTTGTTGCTTTCACTTACTATATATGAAATATTATCGAATCTCAGTTTTCAATGCAAATACTGAATATACGGACAAACATACAAATAGTATGTGTGTTAACAGTCTAGCTCAAAAACGAAAAGTCATACAAAAGTGAACGTTTTTATATGCGTAGGATATTACAGCAACTTTTCCATCAAAATCGGCAACCGGAAATGCCACTTTATATCATGGACTAAACACACATTTTTACAATTTTCTCGTAAACGGCTCCAACAATTTTGATTTAATTCATTATATCAGTGTAAAATTAATCAGTTTTAAATTAAATATAGGTTTTATTCTGATTTATGTTCTCTAACAGAGCTTAAATGGATAATTTTCAGTATTAGCTTCCCCTAAAGTACCTTTATTTTTTTTTATTTGAAATAATTGACCATTCCACATTCATCTCTAGTATAAAAGATAGTTAAATATTAAATATGAAAGAATTTTATATTAACTAAAAGAGAAATTAGAGAATAGTTGTAATTGAGGAACCAAAGCAATACAAGCGCAATCGAGCTCTCCCGAAAGATTAGAACACACTTCCATACATAACATGAGCTTAATATAATGAAGAATAAAGACTCCGACAATATTATGTAAATATACATATGCGGTTTTCATAAATGCTATTGTTGGTATTATTTAATATTTAATTGTATAGATTACAGTGATATCAATATTAAAATTTGTATACATAACAGTTCTTATAAAAATAAAAATACCCAAAATGAATATAAATCAATATAGCATTTATAATTTTTAATTTTATTTCCCCTTTGTCTGAAAATACTTATTTCTGCTAAAAAGAGAATGGTAAGAGAAAGTTGTGTGATGTGCACCACACCAGATTTTTTTTTTTAATATAGTACTCTGATTGAACATTTTATTTACAGGGTAAAACTTCTGAAGCACTTTCAAAATTACTATCTTTGAAGGCGACTGAAGCACTGTTGGCCAAAGTTGGTCCAAATCTGGAAATTCTTCAAGAAAAAACTATCCCTATCGATTTGGTGCAACGTGGAGATGTGCTTAAGGTTTGTTACCAAATATTGAGTAATGCTTTGGTTATTTTATTTCTCAGTTCAACTTAGTTCTATGCTTCTAAGGAAAAAACAGCAATGTTTATAATAATTTACAACTGATATTTTTAGATGTCTGAAAACTTTATTAGATAAATAAATTAAGAAATAATTCTTAATTTCATTGCTATTCTTCAGTTAGTGTTCTTGCAATTAGTTGGCAGCCCAAAGACGAACTCAGGCAGCACTAAATTAAGTCTAATACATTTTTTCCTTATCCTTCAATTTTATATACAATTGTTATATTATATTTATCATCTTATATTTACTATAAGATGTTACTATAAGATCATCTTATATTTATATAAGTTCATCTTATATTTACTATAAGATGACCTTGTTATATATGTATATTTAGATGCGGGTATGATTGTTAAATAATAGTGAGTCTATCTTTGAATACAGAGTTAACAGTTAACAAAAAAAACAGTTATTAATAAATTTGCAACTTGCCAGTATATCAACATTTCCATTATTTAGTTCAATCTTATATATAATATTTCAACATTTAAGTAGTCGTCAGGAGTTGGCAACATAGAAACAAGTTGGCCCATTTGCCAGAATAGTTCCACCTACCAGTAACTTACTTATTTAACTTTTATTAATTATTGTTAGCATAGCAATTATATGCCAATGGGTAATTTTTATGCTTTCAAATCATCTATCTCTCTTATCTATCATCTAATTTTAATTTGATATTTGATAGGTTCTACCCGGCTCAAAAGTTCCTGTGGATGGGAAAGTTATTTATGGGAACTCCACCTGTGATGAATCTCTTATTACAGGAGAATCAATGCCTGTACAAAAGAAAGAAGGTAAGGATATTACATACATGTAACGTATAACATGTAAATGTTTAGTATTATAGGCCATAGGTGGAAAACCTGTAGCCTCCGATAGTGTATGTAAAGCATAAATACCATTTCTGGTATTAATTCATATTTAATTATATAGATCATTTAAATCTCAGAGATTGTGCATAAATATATATATATATATATTGCTACTGTTTCATTCATGTACTATTTTCCTGTTTATCTAACTGCTTATGGCAGTCACTAACTACAAAATCTCACCTTTAGAGCAAAGAGAATAAATGTGTAAAATTGTTATATACGACCTTTTGTACTAACAGTAGCAATATACATGCTTATACAAATAAATATATCCACAGTGAATCATAAATATTAATAAATTAACTGTCTAACCTAAATGCGGCTTCCAATGATAAAACCATTCCTTGCCTTGGTATGGATATAAGTTAACAACTTTAGAAAGGGCCTTTGTGTGCAAAGTTTAGGCTGGGAGATTACGCTTAAATCTAGTCCAATATGCCATCTTGAATTTATTTTATAACATTTTTATTTCTTTTGTGTTATTTCAGTAAGTAAAGGTTCGTTGCTCACTAAAAGGATTTCTCTTTAAGTTGGTTACATATACATATAAAATTATTTCTTATTTTAAGTTAATGTTATATTTTGTATACATTCATTCTTGAGTTACTTTAGTCTTTTCATTTTCTAGGTAGCTTTTTGATTGGTGGTTCAATAAATCAAAATGGACTAATTTTAATGTCTGCAACACATACCGGCGAAGCTACAACATTAGCACAGATAGTTAAACTTGTTGAGGAAGCTCAGACCAGTAAAGCTCCCATTCAGCAACTCGCTGACAAAATTGCTGGGTTTTTTGTACCGGTTGTAATATTCATTTCAACTGTAACAATAGTCATCTGGGTGACTATTGGTTACTGCGACATAAGCTATCTTCCATTTACCGTAAGTAAATTGTTTCTCTTTCTATTTCCCTTACATGAAACCATGGATGAAATAATTTCTTATATTTGTAAATTATAGGAACAAGATAAACAAAATTATGACGAGTATGAGCTTATATGGCAGTTTGCGTTCCGTTGTGCGCTAAGCGTACTTGCGATAGCTTGCCCCTGCGCTTTGGGCTTAGCAACTCCAACTGCTGTGATGGTCGGTACTGGTGTTGGTGCTCTCAATGGTATACTCATTAAAGGAGCTGAAACTTTAGAAAATGCCCACAAGGTATCTTTTAAAATATTTTTTTTTATTTTTAGAAAATAAATTAGTCCTTACAAGGATGTATTTAAAATAATGTTCGATTGTAGGTGAAATGTGTTGTTTTGGACAAAACAGGAACCGTAACATATGGAACTCCCATGGTAAATAAAATTAGTCTTTTTGTGTCACGATTTGAATTTCCATTGGAACAGTTGATATCTATTATCGGAACTGCAGAATCTAACAGTGAACATCCAATAGCTTCAGGTATGTGAACTGATGGATACAAATATAAATTTAAATAGTGATAAAATAGTAATTAATTTAAATTATTTAATAGATATTTTATTTTTGACTTAGAGACCAAAGGATTGACCTTTGGTTTTTATTCTTTTATTATTAGTGAACATTTTTTGTAATTGAAAAAGCAATGTAATGCGGACCCTACACGATCATTCGAAATTGCATTCCGAGGCACTATTGACATTCTAATTGATCATGTAAGGTACTGATTGAAGTACTGATGGTTACGGCCAGACACGTGGCAGATTTCCTAAAATCCGGAAATCAAAGGTTCAATCACGAAAAGTGGAGGGGATACTGAGGTAAAAGTGGTGGGAGACTAACCTTAATACTAGATAGATTAGTTTGCCTAGAACTCACAACAATTATAAATTCCTGATTTTCATTAAAAGTAAATAGTTTTTCATTTTTTAAAAGTAAATTAATTTAGTTCAATTTTTTAAAATAGTCAAGTGGGCAATAAACTAAAAAAAAAAAAAATGGAAACTTCACAATTTACTTATAGAAAAAAATTAATCTTTAACTGTTTTGTATATTTTTCAGTTATTTTTCCATTTTTCTCAACAAGTTTATTGTTTTCGCAAAACTAATTCATTTTTTCTTTTTTATATACAAATATATAGATTTACTATAAGATGACATTGATATATATGTATATTTAGATGCGGGTATGATTGTTAAATAATAGTGAGTCTATCTTTGTATACAGAGTTAATTTTTTGTTAATAGTAGACTTATATTTTTCTAACTTTTTTCAAAATGATTTTCAAACAGTAGGAAGTAATTATTATATCTGTAATTTTCTCTTGTCCAAATGCTATTAAGGATAATGGCTAAATAAGCTTTTTTAATTAAACATTATTATAAGTGGACAATGCACCAGATCCACACTACCTGTTATCTCGATGTCAACTGAGCTAAAATGCATCAGTATGATTGATACATGTAAGGATCACCATGATTGAAACAATCCTTGTCATTCATGAATTATCGTGTAGTGTCCGTTAATAGCAGTAATAATATTTATAATATTATAATTATCCTTAGTGACAACTGAAATAGATATTATTTAAAAATATAATTATAAAGCAACATTGAAACGTTTAAGAATTTAAAAATATTGTATATTACCATTTAATTTATCATTGTTTTCCTTTTTGTTCCTTAGCAATCGTCAAATTTGTAAAGAATACAATCAATGGAGAAATAAGCGGTAAATGTGATAATTTTCAAGCTGTACCGGGTTGTGGTTTGAAGTGCTCTGTGTCCCATCTTAATCCAATGATTTCGGCTGCTTCAATGAGTTCAAAGATTAGGGACTTCCATGACATGTAAGTATCCAGGATTTTATTTTAATTTTAAAAGACGATAATATACTAGGAGAGAGACCTTAAAACATAAATATATGAAGAGAAGAGTTTTTAGTTTATTATTAAATTCTGCAATTAGTTTATTTTAATCATCTCATCGAATTTTGGTTACTTCAACTGTTCTACACCCATAGCCAACAACTTTTAATTTTTTATAAATTTCTCCCGACTTCACTTAATGTGTCATGATTTTATTTTTTAGACCTCATGAAAGTGCAACATTCGAATTAAACGGAGTAATTGTGGAATACGTCAACAGTCCATCAACTGCATCTCAGTCGCAACAATATGGAAAGCTTCTCAATATTGATCAAAATGATTCTGTTGAGTCTTCCGAATTTGAGGTAGATTGCAAAACCGATTATCGATTTCTTTCACATTTTTTAAATTGTTTCTTTAAAAAAAATAAATAAATAAGGATTTGTAACATATTAGCATAGCTAAAGTGTAACCTATATCAAAATATCTTTTTCTATTTTTTAGGTGTTGATTGGAAATAGAGAATGGATGACTAGAAATGGTATTGCTATTCCTTCTGTAGCTGATTTCTTAATGTCTTCTGAAGAAGAGTTAGGTCATACAGCAATCCTGTGTGCTGTTAATGGTAATTTTCTTTATTAAATTATTTGTGGTTATAATAATCCTCGGAGACATGCTTTTTTTCAAGCCATTGATTCAGTGGACACCCTTATAAATGTTTCAATCCATATAGCAAATATTAAGATTTTTTCTTAGTTTTCCATTTTACTTATAAAGTTATATGCGCTTAGGAATATTATCCAGTATGTGGAGTGTAGCTGATAAGGTAAAACCTGAAGCCCATCTCGCTATGTTCACTCTCAAAAGGAGGAATCTCGACGTAATATTGCTTACTGGTGACAATAGGAAAACTGCTTCTGCTATAGCAAAACAGGTAAATTTAATAATTAAGTTGTGTTTAGAAATATAAGGATACATATACTCAATTCATAATATATAATGACAATATTGTTTTTACTATGTACAAATTATAACATATAATGATAAACTTTTTAAAAATATTTATACTTCTGACTATAATTAGATATCAACGCATTGTTGATTTGATTTAGTAGTCGTTCGCCGGCCAGTGAGAGAAGATGGCAATAGCCAAGACAATCGTAAATCCTGTCAGGTGTGAACTGTTTGGTGTTATTCGATTTTTTATAGCGAAAGGTTCTTCAGTTGCTAAAAATTCATTATGAGTTATGTATAGTGTATGGACCTGAAATAATGAGTGCCAAACAAGTTTGAAAACGGTATCAAGAATTTCAAAATGGCTGCCAAAATGTGCAAGGTAAATAAGGACCGACAACATTGTGTGATAAAATTTGTGTGGCCATTTTGAAACTCTACACCATTTTCAGGTCCCAAACACTAGACATAATTCACGATGAATTTTCAGCAACTGAAGAACCTTTTGCTAAATATCCTAACTAGTTAAATATGGATCACCAGACCTTAGTTTTGGAATACGCCTCGTACATTTACTGAAAAATGATATTGTAGTCTTCTAATTTATATATATTTTATAGTCCACAGTACAGACTCCTTTTTATCAAATTATTAATATTTGTATCAAAACCTCTTGAGTGGCTTAGTTTTATTTTAACCTACAACTTTTTTATTTACAAAAATTCTCAGAAATAGAGCATTTTCAATTTGGAGATTGGTAAACTTTCTCTGTTTAATGAGATACTTGAAATTCATTTTGGTATGACAATCTCCATCTCTAACATTCATTTTTATGAAATCTTTGTCTAATGTATTTTAAATATAATTTAATCTCAGTAGTCTGACCTTCAGTGGTTGCCTGAACTGTATATTGAAAGTAAATTTAAGTTTAAACTATAATTATTTAATTAAATAGCAGAAAAAAATACGGATCAATATATGTAAATTTGTTCAAAAGAATAACTTTTGTATATAATCTATATAATGTAAATAGTCTTGAATAACTTTTAATCTTCATTTTAAAGGTTGGAATTCGTCAAGTTTTCGCTGAAGTGCTTCCATCTCATAAAGTAGCAAAAATTCAGCAATTGCAGAATAAAGGGCTGAGCGTGGCAATGGTAGGCGATGGGGTCAACGACTCCCCCGCCCTCGCTCAAGCAGATGTAGGTATTGCTATTTCATCTGGAACGGATGTCGCTGTAGCTGCAGCTGATGTCGTCTTGATGAGGGTAAGTTCATTGTTATTAATTATTATAGATGGTAAGGTAAAAACAAATTGATCATTTTATTATTCATTATCTAAAATAGATTGTATATAACAAAATTTGGTATATAACAAAAAACGTGGGCACTGTGGTGCCTGCGTGCTCTAGGTTTGAGATCTCTGGTTTATAAAATATTTAATCCTGAGGAGAGAGAATCACTTTATTATCATAAAATAAAATGGTGCTGCCAAATTACATTTATATTATAAAATAAAATGGTGCTGCCCAATTACATTTATATCATAAAATAAAATGGTGCTGCCCAATTACATTGGGTTGTTAACAACACAGCATACTTAATAATCACTAAAAACAATATTTAAAATTAATATACAATTATATAGGATTAACAATATGTATGAGCATAGTATACAATATTTTTTATATGTATATATATTATTATTTTTATTTTTTTTTATTTTTATTTTTATTTTTACTATTTCTTTCATTCATTTATTATCATTCTGTACCCTTTCTCTTCCTTCTCTCCCCTTATACATCTTCCCACTCCTCATATTCTCTCCTCTCTCTTTCTAACCTAATACATAAAAAATACATAAAGTACAGTGGACGTGTTCAATAAATAATAATATAAAAATGCTGTAACACACGCATGCCTCCCCCCCATGAACAAACTCTCTCCCTATCCGCTCCCATACACATGGTGGTGGATGATTCCCATTTAATTATTAAACACGTGTGTATCTTTTTATTATGTATCTTTTTGTAATCTAATTTTTCTAGTGTTTCAAGTTAAATAATTGTGTCGTTTTGATTTTCAGAATGATCTGTTGGATGTTATCGCCTGCTTAGACTTATCAAGAAAAACTGTTAAACGTATTCGTGCCAATTTCCTCTTTGCTAGCGTTTACAATTTGATTGGTATCCCTATGGCTGCTGGAGCCTTCAGTCATTTTGGTTTAACGCTTGTGGTAAGTTTTTCTTCTTTAATATAAAACTGAGTCTTATTTCTCATAATTTAAACCATTTTTTACCTATTATCTCTCAATCGGCATTTAAAACTGCAGAAAATATTTGTTTTATTAATTTTTTTTATAGAATATTTAGTTCATGACTTTTTTTTTTTTTTCTGTTCTTCCCTACCTCGCCTTTTAGGCTCTACGGGATTTTCCCGGACCAGAGGGTGAGGGCGGGGAATTTAAAATCCCCTCTAGCACCGGGACGCGAACTCGTGACCATTTTTATATCATAGAATCATATATCCGGTTGCCGGGCAACGGCGGTGCAATGCACACTCGTTAGCCCATTCGGCCACTCCGCCCCCCACAGTTCATGACTTATTGCCTCTTCATTATCGAAGATAGGGAAACTTTGTATTCGGGCGGAAGGTCAAAAAAATATTTGTGCCTATAATGGAAAACTTCCACTTGCGTTTGCAAACATCAAGGATTAAATTTGGTTCAGCATCTGTCTGTAGTCAAATTGATGTGATGGACGTACGACTTAATACAGTTTATCCAATTTTGATGAAATTTTCAGGGATTGTGTGGGTTGGTGCCTAGATGGTCTTATATCTATTTCATCAAATTCCATCTAATACTTTGGCTTATGCACACGTAAAGTATTTTTTTAGATATGCCAATATTTCAGAAATGGTTCGTTCGGTTTATCTCAAATTCGGAAGATATATTTAAAAATTATGCTATCTTAATTGTATTAAATAAGATCATCTACTTTCTCTTAAATATGATAATCATCAACTTCTCTCTCTTCTAAAAATGACAAAGGGATCGGTATAGGTTATTACATTTTAAAAACCTTTCACCGATTCTATCAACTTTAGGGATCAATCGTTTCTCCTCCTTCAAAATCTTTTAATAGCCGAATCATCCATTATTAAATTATGATACCATACCATACTTGTTAATTCATATTTTTTTTTCACACCTTTGTTTTGCTTATTCTTGCTTTTATCAAGTCAAATTTTTCTTTCATATTAAATGATCTTAGGGATATCGTAATTCTTCTTATAAATTATTTCAAAGAATTAGAAGTAATAATTTCTATTGCTTTATGAAAGTTTTTCTTTTCCATGTATGTAAACTAAGGACTCTTTTTTTTTTTATGACAATTACATTTTTTACATTTATTTATGTATCTGGATTTTTATTAGATATTTAGAATTTTTATTCTATATGCAAACAATTTTCTTTAAATAAAAATTCTAGGTTCCTAAAAAAAAAATAATCATTAGACACTGTCTATTTAAGGAAGTTAGACTGCTATATAATATAAATTGAAATAAGCATTGTCTCTAGTTATTAAGTCATTGCATTAATTTTTTTTATATTTGGGTTAAATCCTTCAATTCTTCAGAATGTTCAGATCTATGTATTTGCTCAACTGAATAAATTTCTTGACCTCTGTTACAGCCATGGATGTCTTCTGCTGCTATGGCTTTAAGTTCGGTATCAGTGGTCTGTTCTTCATTGCTGCTTAAACTGTAAGAATTATCTGCTTGACGATTACAATATATATTTACTTTAATTTTAATTTTATTATAATATATTATATATATGTAAAATTTTAATTCTTTTGTTTATAAAATTAATGTATCTTGAAGTATTCATGAATTATTTTTTGTACTCTCAGCTTCTATAAATTTATAATTTTTCTTAATAGCTACCGTAAACCAACAATCGATGAACTCATGACACCTGAATACAGGCAAGTGATAGCTGCCCAACAGGAAATGGAAAATATTTCCCTTCATCGAGGTATCGATGACATTAAAATACCTTCTCGTGTGCCAAGTACAGCTAGCAACTTAAGCTTAAGCAGGTTTGTTATTATGTATTTTTAATTTTTCGTCATCAATTAAACTATCAAATGAGATATTTATTTATATTTTTTTTATTTGCTGTTTTTTAACATCACATCGACTGCCATGATCATTAGCGACAATCCTTCTTCTTAGACATAACTTGTTAATTTTATTTGTTGAATGTACTTTAGTATTTTCTTTGAACAGTGCTTTATCATCAATTTGCTGTTTCTGGAATTTTTTACACTGGAACATGTGTTCAACGGTCAGATTAGTATTTTCATATGTTGGACATAGGCCAAGAAGTAGGTGGAGATGGGTCAGTTTGGTATGCCCAGTTCTGAGCCTGCTTATTATAGAACATTCTTTTGATGTTAGGTGTTTTGGAGGATATCAAGCTCGATTTTCTTCTTTGGTCAGATGAAGGTGATTGAGTGGCAGTAATCTCCACTGTGCATTCCAATTGTCGTTCACTTTCTTTATAATTTCTCTTGTACACTCGTTGAGAAACATCGATTCTAAAACAGGTGAATCCTTTGCTCATTGGCTCGTTCATTGCCAATTATGCCAGTGTGTTACGGAACCCAAAACAATATTATTTCTTGACTATTGTTAATTAGTTTCAAGTTCATAAGTTGAATTTTTTTATGAAATGTGTTACATGCCCATGTATTTTTCAGTCCCTTGATTACAGATAAGTACCTTGTTTTAATTACATATAGCTTATTTATTATTATTATTATTTTTTTTTTTTACAGGCTCTTCAATAAAACCAAAGAGGTAGGTGAAGGGCGATTGCTTTTCGCTGATGAAGAAGATCTTGAAATCGTTGTGGGATCAATGAAAGAGGTAATTTCTCTGATTCATTTATTACTATATTTACACCTGTAGTGTTATTTTATTATTGGCTTCCAGTTAAAGTCTAGCCCTATTTATAGATTTTATTTATTTTTTGTGTTGGCTCTCTTTTTATAAGGATCTCAAGTTCTGAACTGATTTCATGTAGACTTCAGGGGGCTTCTTGAAGTTAGTTCTAAGCAGAACTTGAAGTGAAAACTTACTTTACATTTTCAGCAAATTTCAATATGACTGAAATCTTTATTTTCAATTGTTTTTCTGCTATATCAGAATTAGAACTTTTTCCAATGGAAATTTTCAACAGAAGTTTTTTTTTTTTTTATAACTTTTATTTAAAAGTTCTAATGAAGCAATTTATTTTTCTGAAAGTAAGTATTAAAAATGGTAATTGTGCAGTAGTACATTCTTAATGACTCAAATGAAGGAAATAAAGTATCAGGCAATTTATTCAAAATAAATTCTTTATATGTCCAATTATTGTTTATTTCTCATTTAACTGTTTTTAAGAATAAATAAAAGTTAAACTTTTACAATAAATCCAGAAGTTTATTACAAATAAGTTCCTAAAAGCTTTTATTTTAAAAACTTGTTTCCGTAAATGTTTCAATGAAGCTGTTGAAACGGAATTTTTTCCCAAAAAAGTTAAAATAGAACATTTCTTTATATCCAGAAAAATAAATAGAGTGTGTATTGGTAGCAATACCAGTTGATATTTAGTGTGTCTTAGTGCATGCCTGATTAGGATCTGACTGGTAAAAGAGTTTTTTTAAACAACAGTGCTATCTTCTGAAATTTCTTTCTCCAAGATCTGTCCTATAGATATGTCAAAGCTTGATTTTTAAAATGGTATAGTAGATACTTGAAAAAGTAAAAAGATTTAAAAAAAAAAAATACTATAGAAATTAGGAAATCTTATTTGTTTTTTACCTTTATTTGTATTTGACGTTGGTCGATTGTTGGAAAAATGAACATTTATGAGTATTTAAACTTGGTATACTACTAAATACTAAATACCATAGTATTTAATTGCCTTTCCCTATATACTATGGCTCCTGGCATGTAGATTTTTGTCCCATGTATTGATGCATGGCAACACGTCCCAAGTCTTCAGTTTTATTGGAGGAGGAAGGCATCCGACTACTACACTTAGATTAAATATTGGTAGATGTCAATTTCTTTAACTAATACAGTACATTCAACGCTTTACATTTTTGTGATTGCTATTTTTCATTGTATGTTTTAATTATGTTAAGAATATTAGGCACCATTATTAAACTTTTTTTTTTTTTTTTTTGAGAAGTTAATGTACATGTACAAACTTACTTATTACAGAATGAAAGGAACAGCTCAATCGGTTGAGAAATGAATGAAAATGAAAGAACCTGAATTTTAATAATATTCATCTTGAATTATATGAAGAACATGAAAGCTATATAATGCAGTAAGTATAATGCTGACTATGTATAATCGTTTTTATTTATCAGTGCTTATATTGTACTGCTGGTTTTTGTTGCCAAAGTTAATGTTACATATTTATTTATATACTACATGTTTTGTTAAACCTAACTTTAAAAAGATATTTAACAAAGTCAATCAAAATACCATAAAAATGGTGAATCTCGCCAATGAGTAAATTTTATTTGTGTAATACACCCTTCTTTCCAAGATATATATTAGTCCTAATTTTAGAGTTAGGTTATGAAGTTGTTTTATTATTACCATTGACACATGTAGAAAGTTCCAATTATCAAATAATTATATTACTGGCCCGAATATGTATATAAGATGTATAATGAATGTTCAAGAAAAGATTTTAGATTTGAATTTCCTGTTTTATTTCTGTTACATTTTTAAAGCTGCTTTATTTTTTAATGGAAAAAAATGTATATTTATATCGTTGTGAAACAACTGTGATCCTCTTCTGTTTGTAATACCCATAAAATCTCTTTTATTGTTTTGTATATTATTTGTTCAGAGTACTTATTACTTCACTGTAAATATTCTTGTTGTAAGGTAAATAATATTTAAGTTGTCCATGTATTTAATAAATATTTATTTGTCTTCCATATTACTTAAGATAAAGATTGAGTTTATTTATTTAATTTTCAATCTGTATAAATATCAATTTCTTATCCTATAAAAACAGTAAATCTTATTGAATGAATTAAAATTATAATTTTTCTCCTCGTCAATGACATATGCTTTTCTTGCCTGCCCGATATTCAAGATTTTAGACAAAAGTAATAGCAGGAAAAAAAAATTAGTACTGTCTTCATTTTCCATTTCAAACTAACCTCTCCTGTTATATTTTTATTAGAGCATTTAATTATTTGTTTAACTTTATGTAAAATCTCTTTTATAAAATTAATATGTCACAGTATGGCATTGACAATATGAACAACTTAGGATGGCAAGTCATTAATGAAAACATGAAAAAAAAGGAAATAAAAAGGAGATGAAAATTAATCATATTTAAGTTTAAATTACTGTAGTGTTGGAATTATTTTTTTTTTCTAGAATGAAGATTATTTTCATTTAAAAGTAAAGTTTATAGGGCTTGTAATTCAATAGAGCTAATTTGATTAGAAAATCTGTGAGCGTTGTCAAATGGAAAACGTGATTTGACAGAACTTCCTTGCGCCTTCGAAGTACCTGTTATTATTGAGGGAACAAATGAGGCATGGTAGAGTTAAAGCAGTGTTGACCACTGTCTTTCAAGAAAACTTAAGTTAAGAACCGATTGCTTCGACCAGCATTTGAGTAATTACATATTTATTATGAATTAGATTTTATTTATTAATTAAGATATAATACGTTTAACAACTCCTGTAATCACATATCAATAATATCTTAACTAACTGAATTATTCTATAATGTTGATAAGATAGTAAATCCCTTTAATAAAGAGTTTAGATATTGGGTTTAATAGTTTGTTCTACTTTAAGGGAGAAAATTTATATTTTTTAATTTTATATTCAAGTGAGTTCATATAATCAATGTCCTGCTGTTAATAATTGAAGAAAAAAAATTGATTTGTTTTGTTTTTTTAATAAAAGAAACAATTGATTGTTGGTATATTATAGTTCTTCTGTTGTGGTGTTTATTACAGGCTAAAGGTTAATGTTGAAAAATATTTCAAACCTTGTGAAATTACAAGTTATTATTCGTTATGCGAATTTGTAAGTTACGGTATTTATGTTGCTGAGTTATGTCCAAGTTGGAAAATTTAATTTTCACTTACCATTAATGTTTGTTAACAAGGCCTTTTATAGGACCGATTTATTGATGTGATCAAACATTCAAACAACTCAGAATTACAAATTGCATTGATCTGTTTATTATTTAATCATAGAAAACATTTATATGGCTTTTATTATTATTATTACTTTTACCATAAACAATATTACTGTGTTCACTTCATCAAGTTTACTGGTTAATAATGAGTTTTTATATAAGATATTTAACATTTGGCCTGTAGTAAATATTTCTAACTTTTTATTGAACCGTTTAATTAAAAAATAAATTACCTATATAGTTGAAGGCGGTGCCCTAATGCTTCCTTCCTGATTGTAATTGAATTAGTAATAGTAAATTGTCTTGCTAATTATTTTATAATAAAATTCTTAAGTTTTGATTAGCTTACCAAGTTCAAGGTAAATATATGTTGATATCCGATGCATATTCTCAATATCAATGTTTGCTTTGCCAATTTCATCACATATATAATAATCATGTCCCCATTTTATCTTGTTAATACCTCGACTGTTTATTAAAATTAAGTCCTCATAATTTCATGTGATATAAATATTGTTTAATTTGTTTTTTTGTTTAAATATATTTTAAAATTAAGTGTATTTTTACAAATAAATATGTATTTTTACCAAGCTACATCTCTTTTATTCTTCTGTGCCATTATTGTCATATAAGTTGGAATGAAATTATCATTAGTTCAAAAATTTAAATGAGTCGACTTTCAAAAATCATTAAGTGATGAATCAAGATAATTCAATAATCATTCGGAAATAAAGTGATGGAAACCCTGATAACAATTGTAAGCGAAAAGTTACAAGTTTATTAGATCAATTTATATCCATTAGGCTGATATTGAAAATAGTCTAGAAAAAACTATAAATTTATCTCTTAAAGTATTACATTTGCTAAAATATTAGTCAATATTCAACTTTTTTTGTTACAGACCAAACTCTCAATATCTCTAAACTGGGCTTATTTTTGTTCTAATTATGTCATAAAAATAATGATATAATTAATTAAGAAATTACTTAATAAAAACAATATTTTTATGTTTAAAATTATTTGATTAAGTTGATAAGAAGTCAGAAGGGGGTATAATAATTGACAGTTTACAATTCTTTAATTGCACTAACAATTTTATAAAAATATTTATGAATGAGAACATACTAAATCTTTCCTTTTGGTGAAAAATCACACCCAAATATATTTTTTTAATTTGGATGTAAATTAAATTTTAATAGATTATAACAATCATATATTTAATTTGAATATTTTTTGAAAAGGAAACACTTTTCTCGGTTTTTAATAGTACAATTAGCAGTATTTACTTTATGCTAAATTATTTAATGCTCGCCCTATATGTAAACAGAAACAAATAAAATAAGTCACAAACTTATATTGAGTAATCAGGACTCAAACATATAGCTCTTTCACAATTCTGTAACCTTATTTCAATAAATAAAACTAAAAGAATTCAGGAAATTAGTGTTAAGTGATGTATTCTATTGATTTGAATAATTTTAATAAATTGATTACATATCAAAATAATTTTATTTTAAGAAATCGAAAAAAAATAAGTATTAAAATTTTTTGAGAACATTATATTGGGGATAAGAAGAAAGATAAGATCATTCTGACGAACACGTTTATTTTTATTAAAAATTAATAATATTTAAAAATAGAAACAGAAAATACTGATCTTAAATATTAAAAAATCAGCACTGAGCAGTTAGAATACAATGATCCATAAAATATTTCTTCATAAATATTTGTAAGCTTGATTTCAAAAATTATAAAAATATCTATGCATTTATATAAATATCACATAATATCTTATAATACTTATTACAAACTTGGAGCCACAATGTTAAGAGCTTTCATGCTAGCTTCAAATCCCATGAAACAGGCTGCATTTGCAGGGAAAGCTCTAAGCATGACAGGAGTCACCCCTTTATAAAGTGCTAAGACTCCTTCTTCTTTAATGAGAACTGAAAATACATGTCCAATACCTCTGTAGGTTCCCTCAGGTGCAGTTTGAAACCTACTTTTAATCACATCTGCAGGCATACCCACTACCCAATTCATGATACCAGCCATACCGCCAGCAAATATCGTCTTTAAAAGTCCCAGCTCTGTGCTTTCACCTCCAACCGTACGTAATTTATTCTGCAACCACTCATAAGTCATGAAATACATACCACTTGCTGGTACATCTCTCAACAGAGTTGCAACAGTCCCTTTGTAAATACTCCTGATACCTCCTTCTTTGTATAACTTTTTAACGACATCAACTGGACCAGAATATTTTGGTTTCTCCTGACCATGCTGGATTTGGAGTAGACATTTGATTCGTTCTCCCGGAGCCATAATAGCAGTCGTGAATATGCCTGAAAAAGCTCCAGCTACAAATAACTTACTTAACGATTGATTATTATCATCACAATTGAACAATTTTTTCCCTACACCAAAACCGAGAAAACTTATAGCAAAAATTGGAGCGACTCCGGCCAGTGGTGCACCCATACCTTTGTACAGTCCTTTCACACCTTCTAATTTAATTGTTTTTTTAGCACAATCCCACGTTCCTTCATACAATGGAGTCTGATTTGATACAGCAGTTGGCATCGTTTGAAGTCTAACTTTAATTGTATCTAATGGGTGTCCTGCTAAAACAGTACATATCCCACCAAAACCACCTGATATAAAATATTTAATAGGACTCTGTTTATCATTCATTTTAAATTTGGAAGAGTAAAACTCGATAACTACAGGAAGAACAACTTAAAGAGAATGATAGTCAAAAGGTCTATTGATCTGAATGACCTTCAGGTTTCCTAACAAGTTGAACTTTTAAAGGAAGATACTTTTATATTCACAGTATTGCATAAGTATTTATTGGTAAGTCTATTATGGTAATTCAGACTCCTTATATGAAGCAATATTTGAAAGTAAAATAACTATAATTTGACAGAATAAAACTTCATAAAAATTATATTTATTGAAAGTTGGTTATAATTATGGACAATAGTTATAAGTCTTCTCAATTTCTGATAAGCCTACGAACATAGAAAATCTACAGAAAAGTACTTAAAACTTTGATAAGTCATTCAAAATTATACATATCAATATTAGGAAGCATCAAAACGTATTATTCGTCCATAATCTTCTGCAAATGATAAAAAGACTAAATTAAACTTTCAGGCGATCATAATTTCAACAAACAATCAATAACAAATAATAAAATTCATCTATTCAACTGAACGACCGTGAACCGGTGAAGTTCGAGGTTGTATTAATTAGAGAACGAAACGTTCAAACATTGAAAGATGATAAAACCAAGGAAGTCCGTTAGCTGATAGATATAAGAATATTCTCTTCCTTTTAGAATCGATAAACATAAATTGTAAAACGAATAAAACAAACAGAAAATTCATTTTTGATGACAATATATATTTTATAGATAAATAATTATGAAATTACACAAATATTTGGCTCCACAGAATATAGGGCAGTATAAGGCTAAATGGTCCAACTTTCTTTTTTCCAGATTTCCTTTTTATTTCCAGCAATCAGAGATTGTACAGTATAAAGAAACTCATGTTTAGGCAGAGTAAGCAAACGTCGTCCAAAAACGCTTTGAGCTATTACAGATTTCGTATAGAGTTTCAACCTTTATATTATAACTTCAAGTTAGGTCAAAAATAGTTGTCTTCTTCTCGTGATGCTCGGCTGTAATTCGGCTGATGGAACTCGTTCGTGAGGAGCACAGACTACTTCGATTTACAGTGCCTCAAAGTAATGTGTAATTCAAAATGGCGTGCTCAGACGTCTCCGGTATTCTGCACATGGTGTTCAGGGTGCATATTCATGTTCTAGTCCATAAAGCTTGGCTCGAAAGCACCCATGACTTGAGAGGCTTTTGATGGTCCATTCTGCATATGTATAGAGGGGATAGAAGACGATGACCTAGATAGGCTGCAGGACAGGTGAAGATTAGATGAATGCGGTGGATAGACTTAGTAAGTGCAAGCTATGTACAAGAAATGGAAATTGTTTTAAATGCAGAAGTGGATTGCTATGTAGTAGGCAGGTTGCACCTATTTATATCCGCTGTAAACACCCGTTCATAATCCAATTGAAGAGTTAAGTGAAAAAGAGGATGAGTAACATTATTGAATTCCTAGAAAACTGAATTAAAATTACCTGTATATAGGTGCTATTAGACCAACATTAATCATCAATGTACACCTCTATCAACTCAACTATGGATCAATTATTGATTGTATATGAACGGAAAGAACAATAATCATTAATCTATCACTTACTTAGTAGGAATAATTCAATTTTCACCTAATAGTGCAGTATCCATTGCCTTGAAATTGCTATTATTTCAGTACTTAACGAAAACTTATCAGCAGAAAGATGTTTAAAAACTGAAATTAGATTTACTACAGTGGAACATGCTTTAGACTATATTCAACAGGATGTTCAACAAAGAGGGCGTTCCAGCTTATATGCGAAACGAGGTCAGTAAAGAGGATGGTGAGCAAGGGACGTGTAATACAGCTCAAATCAATCCTTTCTTCCAGTGGGAACTTATGACTTACAGTGATTACTAATCCTAAGAGTCGATCTTAGCGCTCAAACTCTTTCAATGGATTAAAATAATGTGATTCTCACAAAGCACTTATTTTCAGAACTTAAAACCTTGGTGTTGGTCAAATGATCTTAATTCCTGTTGTCAGCTTTAGTCCTCATTAAAGGTGATGTAGATCGTAAGAAGAGAATATTTTTGTTTGTTTTTTTCTTTTTCGTCGGCCCAAGACTCCCACTGAAGTCCTATACTGAGATAAGAGAGTTGACTATCATAATCTTCTTGTCATAATACATAACAATTTCATGATACCAAAAGAGGATGTAATGGTCGCAAAATGCAATTAGAGTATTTTCTCATTTAGCTCCGTGGCTTGTGGTAAATGGTCCACTCAATTTTTTTAAACCTTACTCTTAATGGAAATGGTGAGGAAGTGCTTTCAACTTTGTTGTATTAAAGTAAAAAATATTTGGTATGTCTAATCAAAAGACGTTCCTACCGATTTCACCCTTTATACTAATCAGTGTGCTGAATGCCTGTAGCTATGCTAATATTGTTCCAATATGAACGATTTGTTTTTAACTTTGTAAGAAATTTGATCACCTCTTTTTTTTCTTCTTTAAACAAACAGACTAAAATGCCGACAGACTAATCCTGAAAATATTTTTCCTGAATCAGTAGGCTCTGAGACGTAAAGATCCGTTAAAACCGCAGAGATCGAAAATTTGATCCGATTACAAACTTTACTTGCCAGGCGGCAGCAATGTATAGAAAATGGAATATAAGTGTATCGTTGCGAACAATGGTTTAATTTCGACTGTTTTTTTTAATGATCTATAATTTCATTTATAATATATAACTTTATATAATTTCATAACTTTATAATTTAATTCCCATTCAAAACGTTATATTTTAATTGTGTATTTTTTTAGTACATAATTTTTTTCTCTGTTTTTCTCGGGATTGTACTTCACTTGGGAAAATTAAAAGAGCTTAAAATGAAAGATTATAGTCATAAATAAAAGGGAAAGACGATTAAAGTGGCCTGCAAAAGTTTTTTTTGCGTGTAATTTCGATGAAAATTGTTTCTATAGTCTAATTTTGGTGTGGGAAACTCAAATTGTCTGTCAGAGTCCTTATATTAGCTACTGTTCTGCAGAGACGTATACCCAGTATCGAATGCAAACAATTAAGTTATTGGAATTAACACGATCATTTTTTAGGCTTCAAAAGTGCTTTATTACTTGCGAAATATTTTTTCAACCCACAAAACATAAAATTACAACTTCTTTCGGCAAGAACAGCGCTATTGTGCAATTTATTTAAAACGTTTCTTCTTTGCTTGATGATTGTACTGATTTTCTGACAGTATAATCGTCCTCTTTTGTTACCCAAGAAACCATTAACTAAAGCTGTAGATGCTTCCCACGTGCTTTTTCTTTACCCTGTAGAATATTAAGAAATTTCCTTCCATTAAGAATCTCACGGATTAGTGGATCAAAAAATACACCCTATTTAATCTGAGCTTCACTTAAGCAAAGAAATTTTCCTCTAAAGTACTTGAATGCCTTTCCCGATTGGTCCATTCTTTTCACAAAATTGTTCGCTAGTTCTAACTTTATATATAGTAGAGGCAAACTTAAGATTTTTCTTCAGCAAATATAGTGATTTTTTCAGACCTCACAAGAGGGTTGTAGATAACATATTTTTTTTCCAGGGGTCAGGACTTTTTTTTTAGGCTATTCTTTCCTGATGTAATGAAGTGATCTGTCCCGACTGTCCCACTCACCAACAATAGTACTTAGTATATCCCTGCTGCATGCCTAGAAGAATTGTCACCACTTTCAGGTCCCCAAAAATTTGCCATTGGTAGTCCTGGTATTTGATGGATTTTAGAAGTGTTTCCATGTTTTGTTAAGTTTCCTTCATGTAGACAGCATGACCAATAGGGATGGAGGAAAGTAAAGTGCCATGGTGCAATAGAATTGCCTTGAGGAATAGCTTTGATGAATCTATAAACAGCCTCCACTTAGAATGTTTAATTTAATGCTTTCATCAGACCTGGAACATCGCAGCAGGCAACAAGGTTCTCATACTGTTTGAAAAATGGAATTGAGCCTTTCTGACATTTTCTGTACATTGTAATCTTTAGATCAGGTTGTAAGAAGTTCCATTGCTTCAATCTTGGACCGAAAAATTCTTCTTTTTCTTTGGGCAACCAGATCCCATATCAAGTCACTGAGTCAGCAAGTGGGGTTTTTGTTCTTCTCGTTCGAAAGAAAACCCAGAATCATCTGTTGTGGTTCCTCCTAGGGGGTTTTCCTCTTCGTTATCCTGGCCTTCATTGAAGTCATAATGTTCAGGAGGCCTAGGAACAGGCAATTCGTCCCCGTGTAGTATTGACCGTACAGCAGAAGGGTATAGATTTCTTTTTTCGCGACATTCCATGATGAAAAGGAGGGGTCCATGCAAAATTAACAGCTATAAGTGTGATTAGTAGGCTTCCTCCACAACATGGGAACAGCAAAGCGCATATAACGCCCTTTCTTGTTCACCCATTCTCTTAAGGTTATACTACATGTGAAGCAGCAGATGTGTGGGGCCCACGGTTTATCTTGGTGACCAGGCTTCATCCCAAAATAATTGCGGTATGCTGTCTTGATCATCTGGGTGATCGGACGTTTTTGATTTGCAAAGGTTACTTCCCCACAAATGCTGTCAGGATTATTCACACACTTCCTGGGCATTGTAACTTCACCAAAACTAGTGGGCTATCACAACGAAATCGTTGAAAGAATGCCTGAAGCAAGAAAAATCAGCTCAAGAGTAACTTAAAGTGTAAACACGGCATACAACTGTCTGCAAAAGGGTTCTGTGATTCACAGCTAGTCGTTCCTCGCGTTTCACAGAAAAAAAATTAATCCTATCAATCCAGGAGCAGGAAATTTCCCGATATTACGCAAAAAGTAACTATATCTTTGAGTCTAGAGCTAACTGATGATTTTTATGTGGAAATTTGAATTTCTCACACCAAAAAACATGGAATGCGACTGCTTTAAAATGAGATAAAATATCAATTAGAGCAGTGTTATCAGCGTTGAACTGGCGACTCAAGCGAGAAAGTATATTAGAAAATTGTAAGACTGCAAATTAATCACGAGCGAATAAAGAAATATCTCAACATTATGAAAATTGAAACGGACTGCATTTACGAGGTTTATAAAGCACTTGAAGATCTACAGTGCAGAAAATACACACTAAAAAGAGAATATATATTAGCATGGCAGGAATATTTCTAAAAAACTTAAATACATAGGAAATCCAAAAAATAAAACTTTTTTACAAATACACAATTTAGACTTTAGTGAAGTGGAAGAAAGAAAAAATCAAAAGAAATGTGTTATTTGTATATGTAAACACTTTTCTTTAAAATGTATATTGACCAAATAGGATTAATGGTCACTTGTGATAATAAATAAGTTAAAGATTATGGCGAAGTTTCGCCATAATCGTTAGGGCTGCTTTTCACCTAAAATCTATAGAAAAGCACACTTTTGTACAGAAGGAGCCCGATTTCTTTCACTGATATCCGTGGCTGAAACCTTATGAGAGAAAAAAGAAACATCAAAATCGTGGCACAGATGCATAAGGACTGGCAGAACAATGACTGAAAAAGTATTTTTTGGACTTAAGGGGATCTGAAATATAATGATTCATTAAAAATAACTCTTCCGAAATTCGGCTGGATTACTAGTAGAATATTTCCCTTAACTAGAGGTAGGCAAATAAAAGTATACTGAAGTTTGATCTCAAGATTCACTATTCAATGTAGTGATTCATATGATTCATAATCTGAAAAGGATTTCTTTTTTCTGTCTTCATTTAAAGATAATTTAATTTTGGATGAACCTGAATGAAATATTGATGAAGTACCTATGAATTTTAAAGATATAAGTCCTGAACTGTTAAAAGTCCTTTGGTAATAGAATAAAAGTTATCAACTTGCTAATGCTGACACTGATAACTTACCAGATCCATCTAGTTGTAAGAAACACTTAATGTACAGAAAAGGAAACACACTTAAAAGTTTTTCATTGTAAAGGTTCAAGAGTTTGGGTGTAGGTATTGAAAAGAGTAAAAGTTAGAACTCACTCATCATTGATCAACAATTAGCAATTATCTAAATGTAGGGTGAAGGAAATGAGTGCTGAAGGGTGAGTAGTGCTGTTCTTCAGAGCATACCACTAGCACTAGGATCCAAGATTTGATTTTGGCAGGGACTTCAGCCCGAAAGCTTTTTTTCATATATATAAGGATATCTACTCTAATAAAAAAGAAAGATTCTTGCTACATATATGAAATGGTGTTTATGTGATTCTTGAAGTCCTATTAAATGTAATTACACGAACAATAATACTTTAAGAGATAAGTTTTTACCATAACACATGGATACATTTTACCATCTTCTCCTGCAGATCTGCCTATGGAACACACCTCTTAAGCAATGAGAGTGATGAAAACTATTGTCTGGATGGTTGTGCAAATGAATAGGGATTTTTTTCAATCTTACATAGTAAAATAGATTATTTTTCTGTTTGACAGACAGAAAGTACAACCTATTTCCCTCCCTGCTATATAATATAATAATGATTCAACAATATAAGTTGGTCAAAACATAGAGATTTCAATGTTATATTTTGTTTTCAAATAGCTTTTTTTCATCAAATTACACTTCATACCTGCTTTTAGCTGGTTTTCAACTAATGAGATGAAATCTTTAAATGAGAAGAATGTGATATTTCAGAATTATTGAGAGCTAGAGACATAGAGTAAAGTATAGGTTTAGAAAAGCATGTTTTCTAGAAACTTTTTAAAGTTTTTTAAAGAGTATTAAGTAAGTAAACTAAGGAACTTGACTTTAGATTAAGAGACTTTGGGCCAAACAAGCTATTTGAATAAGTATTAATAATTAATTAATTATGAAAATTATTTTCATTCTTAATTACTAATACTGATTCAGCAGCAGCATTCCAAGTAATAAATTATAAATGATTAATATAATCTGATACATTTAAAAATATTAATGAATGGAAGTTGTATGCTAAAATGTTTTATTTAAAATATTTACCTGATTTAGAAAAAAAAGATTCTTGACATGGTATTAAAAAAAAGAAAATAAGTTTAGTATTTATATCAAAATAATTAAATTGTATTCTTGTTTTCTTTTTTTATAATGAAATAATTTATATTTTAAGATTATTATAGATTAATTTACATTATTTTTTAGGGTTTTATTGTGTAGATTAATAAATAATAAGTAAAGTTTATTTCATATTTTTTAATAAATAAGAATCATAATAAAAACTTTTAATAGAAAGTGATTAATTGATATCAGAAAAAAATAAATTGTCATTATTCAATACATGTACATTAACATTTACTCTGATACTGCATACATTGATGATTGTTAAACTTTAATTTCTATAAGAATATTGAAATATCTGTGTGATTTACCTTTCAAGTTCTAATTTTAATGAAGGACTTTGGTAAAATGATTCATTTAACATTTATTTTAAATATAAAATAAAAAAACAAGGTTTATGACTGCTGAAAATTTAGATTAAAATTGATCCATATATTTCTAAATCTATTTTATTTAAAAATTCAATTATTGAAAGAGTAGATCAAGACTGTATTTTATAAATTTTTAGGTATAGTTCATTGAACTTCATATAAACACTAACCCCCTACGGTTATCTATGGGTGTAAATAATGGAAAAATTAATACAGGACCAATAAATATCAAAGATTCATTTAAATATTAAACTTTGAGTATAATGAAGGAACATAGGGGTGAAAATAAATTAATATTGATATGTACAACTTGTGAGGGGTTCAAATTTAAGCATTGAACATTATAGATGTCGTTGGTGTCGGACGTCCTTTGTCTCCTCGAGTCCTCCGAAAAGCTTCCCCTAGTTTTGACGCTACTCTACCTTCGGGGTGTATTCTAAGGGACGTATTTATTTATTTTATTGCCACAATAGTTATAGATGGTATTTTTTCAAAGATCCCTCGCATTTTCTTCAGTATTATAACACATCAGGTGGTGGATAAGCCGAGGTAAGCCCTAGTCTCTTTTATTATTAATAAATCACAACAAATTCCAGGAATTTGTCCCTTGAACAAAGATTGTCGCCATCTTAACTTATTGATGCTTAATAGTTTATATATGTTTAATCGTAACATATCAAGTGTTCGTTATGTTCGTGTAGCCCTGTTAACATGAAAAACGATGTTTATAATATTCTTTAATTTTTATGTATGCAAATTTTTGTAATCACTTGATTTTTAGTTAACTTGATTTAATTGTTGCAACATATTTTTAACGAATCCTTACAACATTTAAGATTTACTTTTTATACTTTTATTTCAGTTTGCCATTACTTCTTCTGATAAAGACTGATAATGGCTGCTTCAAAAGAAACACAACAGTTTTGTGTTCGTTGGAACAGTTACCAAAGTAATCTTCAGTCAGCTTTTCCAAAGTTATTGACCAATGAACATTTTGTTGATGTTACCCTTGCTTGTGAGTCAAGAATGGTCAAATGTCACAAAGTTGTTTTGAGTGCTTGCAGTGCATATTTTGAAAAACTTCTTGTACAGAATCCATGTCAACATCCTATTATATTTATGAAGGACATGAAATATTGGGAAGTGCAGGCACTGGTTGACTTCATGTATAAGGGAGAAGTGAATGTTACACAGGAGGAGCTCTCCTCTCTTTTAAAAGCTGCAGAAGCGTTGGAAGTGAGAGGGTTATGTGGTCAACATGAGCAAGGTATGGCTGATAAGTTGACTTTACCCCGTGGGACAGAAGCTGCTCATGACACATCAGGACAAAAGAAAAGACGAATGGATAGTGAAGTAAAAGAAATCAACACAACACCCTCAAATGGAGATTCTAACAATTCTGGAAGCCATTTGACTCAAATGAAGACTGGTGTGCATGACCAACCAAAAAATGACCATCACACTTCTACCCCATCAACACCATCTGGAGCCCATGTGAGTAATATTCTGAAATTTATAGTTGAGGTAACTCATTATTATACATTTACATCAATAGAATTAAAATATATTTGTTGTTTTATTAATAATATGAGGTTTTTTAATACAATTTATGTTGGTAGTGGCAAATATATCATGTGCTATTTACCTTGTTAGTACTCACCTGGAATAATATAACAAGTTAACTAAGTGGACTGTTGTTTTAGGTCAAACAAGAAGCCCATTTAGCTGATAACGGATTATTCGAAGATTTAGACGATGATTTTTACCAGGTCAGATTTTATTTTAATGTATTTTATTAGTCAAATGTTGCATTTTGTATCATTTTTAACAATATATTTGAAGTCTATTATTAACATGCATATTGAGATTAAAAAGAGTGAGTGTCATTTCATTGCTCTTTAATTTTATTTTGGGTATTAGATTCTATTTCATACTGTGATTGAAATATTGATAATTATGTATCTTAGAAGTTTTTAAGTTTTAGCACAATCATTTTTTTTCCAAAAATGTATGTTGCATCTGTTAACCTTTTAAGGTTGGAAAACATGTACTTCAAAGTATTGACAGCTTAAAAATAGTGTATATTGCTACTAATTTTGAGTGGAAGAATAAACAACTGTTTTAGTGAACTTAAATTTTATTTCATGGTGTTAATTTTATTTTTATTAATGACCTCATATTAAAATTCATTGTTAAAACAAGTTGAGAAGTGAACTTTTGTTGCTTTTTGGATAAAATATATATTATATTTACTTATAAATATATTTAATATTTACTTATTATGTGAGGAAAAATGATCTAAGATTCGTAAAGTTTTTAATTAATTTTAGATTAACATATAATAAGCGAGTCTTAAAGTGTATATTATATTCGTATATAAAATCAATTAATAAAAACAAGAATTAGACTGCCAGTTAATGCTTGAAACTCTCCTCAAAGTTAGTTATAAATTGTCTTTGGCTATAATACAATAAATTTACATCTACAATAAATTTTCTTTTTATTGTAGATTAACTTACTATGAGCGAGTTCCCAAGTATGCATTAGAGTATATATGATATTCATATACAAAGTTAATTTATAAAAACAAGACTTTGACTGCGACTTAATATCAACTCTCTTCAATGTTAGGTATAAATTTTATTTGACTCTTAAGAGTGTCATGATAAATTGTCACTCTTCTTTATTTGATATAGTTTCCATTTAATTAATATCTGCTCAATTTTTTAGAATTAGCAACAGAGATTTCATGAAACAATTAGTGATTTAATTGAGTCTTAAAACTTTAAAATAATATGAACTTTAATCAGGAATATTACTTTATTTTTGGAATATCTTAATTATACGATGAAGGAATTACCTTATAATAATTTTTAAAAAACAACATATCAAGAGGTCTTTTCATTTATGTTTTTGATTCCATGAAGTTGCAACCATACATAGTGGTAATAACAGTTGTTCTAGTTTTTAGAATGGATAAAGAACATTTTAATACTTTGTTAAGTAAAGAGATCCATAAAAAAAAATTAAGTATAATTAAAATTAGCATAGTCAGTGTTAAAGCTACAGGTAAAAATCTGAGGGGTTGATGATGGTGGGGGAAGGATTGTGCTAAGGTTGACCTTGTGGGTATGGGGTTTATAACACAGTAGATGGAAGGCATGTTGGAGGTGATTCCTTGGTGGTTGATATCCGATCGGTATTGCAACTTCTATTTAGCTAACCCTTATTATTATTAATTAAAATTAATTTAACAACAAAATTTCTTTTGTAATAAAATTTAAATTTGGATTTTTTTTTCAATTTCATTTACATTTAATATTATAGCTCACATTTGTTGTGACAACTTATTAAGTTTTTAAAATATTTTCTGAGGGCCATATTTATATTCTGTGAAAATAACCCATCAAATCTGTCAGTTATTCCAGAATAGTGTGTTGCCTGTCACATTAATCGTCTTACCAACTAATTCCTCATATCATAATAAATTTATGCATTTCGTTCGGTCATTGTTACAGTTCAAATATAATATATTTCATGTCTTTTCAGATAATTTTAATTTAATAACAAACGATAATTAAATTTAATAATTTATTGATTATTGTTTTCAATTAATTACACAATTCAAATTATTTTAAATACAATCTTTACTGTAGCCCTTGTTTACACAATAAATATAATTGACATTTAAGAAAACTAAATTAATTATTGAAAAGGATTTTCTGTATAAAGAATTCTTTAACAAAGGAATTAATAACTGATTTTTGAATTTGTGATTCTCGTAGCAGCTAACTAACTGGACTGTTAACTCTTATGGATTATAGATGAAAGACTAACTTATTTATTTCCTACCCGATTGTCTGGTGATGCATAAATGGAACTTTTCAGGAGAGGTTAGACGATTCTCTTGAATCCCCTTGGTTTAATAGTGGTGATTCTCGAGTATTGGATTGCCATATAGATTTTCCAAATATATTGAAATTATGGTACTTCTCTCTTAGCGGGTAGAGTCGAAACCTTCCTTCTTATCTAATCTCGTTTCAGATAACCATCTAGTTTCAGATAACCTTCCTTATCGACCCAATCTCGTTTCTCAAGTTATTGTGTTCTTTAGTTTTTCTTGTTCTTTAGTTTAGTTGTTCTTTAGTATTCTTTAAGTTATTGTGTTGTTTAGTATTATATTGTGTTCTTTTGTTAATATTGTGTTGTTTTGTTTCAACTGGAATTATGGATGTTGTCACATTGTGGGAATTGCTGTCTTCGGAAGAAGAGGCTATCAAATATTTTCAAGACGCCTGTATATTTGATAAGGTGAAATATTGTGATTATTGTGATGGTCGTAAAATGAAGTTCGACGGGAAGATTAAATGGAGATGCTCTCGTAGGTGTAACAAAACCGTTTCTATAAGGAAAGGAACGTGGTTAGAGGGGTCCAGGATTTCTTTTTTGACGGCTTTAAAATTAATTTATGGGTGGTCCCATAATTTAACTACAATTCAGTGGAGGAAAGAGCAGCTCAAACTATCCACCCAAACTGTCGTAGCATGGAACAAATTTTTAAGAGAAGTTTGTGCCCATGACATGTTATACAGGTCGAATAAAAAAATTGGAGGGCCTGTTAAAGTAGTTTTTTATTATTTAATCCTTTTTTGGCCTATTTTTATTATTTCATTTATTTTTGTATATATGTTGCAATGTTTTCGTAATGTTTTTTAATTATATATTTATGTTTTGGTATATATTTATGTTTTTACGATATATATGTTTTGGTATATATTTATGTTTTTCAATATATTTATGTTTTGGTATATTTTAATATATACCTTGTGAAATAAAAGTATTTTGAAATATACGTTGTGAAATAAAAGCATTTATTATTACATTTCTTTCTGTTTTTGTTCACAATTTCAATAATATCAATACAATACAATCAATATGAATACGAACACATAATAAAATGAATATAATACAATATATACGAATACGAAGAGCTTATCAGTGTTAAGGTTATAAACATTGGCGGATAGCAGTCGGACTCTACCCGCTAAGAGAGAAGTACCGAAATTATTTTATAACTTACGAAATTCAAAGCTATTGTAATATTAATGTTATAATCAGTTTTCAAGTAATACCATCATTACAATATATTTTCATGATGACTGTTAGCATGAAATAGAACTATTTTCTTTCTATACATTATGTTTTATCGTATTATTTTTCTTTCGTTTTATTTTCACTTTCGTATTACATCAACATTATGAAGTTTCGCATTTTCAGAATTACTCTATATTTTTCCATCTTCTGACAAAGAATTAGCTATGACTTAGAGGTTATGTGATCTGAAAATATTGGAAATTCTTCTAAGTTCTGTTCTCATTTAATTTTTTTAAATTAGTTTTATATCTTTTATTAATATTTTGTTTTTTAATTTAAAAATATATAGAACGAGATAAAAAATTTATAAAATTATGATATTTTTGTGTGTCACCCTCCTAATGTAAAGTTAGTATTAAAACTAATACTTTTTCTTAACCTGCTTATTTCTAATTTATACAAAATATCCATTTTAGTATCTGTTTATAAATGAAAAAAAAAATATATATACACTGACAGGGAAAAAATTCCACCCACTTGTTACCCATTAAGGAACCATGTTGGAAAGGTTTGCTCTGGGAAAAATTACAGGCTGCATATCTTTTGTTTCTTCTTCTCCACACCCTTACACGCCCGTCTGGAGATCGAAGAGCGAATCTTGACTCATCTGTAAAAAGTACAGCACTCCATTCGTCCATAGTCCAATGGCTGTGTTCTTGAGCAAAAGCTAGCTGTGTTACTCTGTGAGTTCTGGTCAACTCTGGTTCTCTTACTGGACGAAAAGCCATTAATCCATACTCATTTAATCTTCTCCGAGAAGTATGTTCAGAAATTTGAACACCTCGAACTTCTTCGAGCTGATGAATCGCTTGAACAACGGTAAGGTGCCGGTTTCGTAAAATTCTCAAAGTCAAAAACCGGTCATCCCTTGGTTCTGTTACCCTAGGCCATCCAGAACCAGGTTCTATGGTAGAACCAGTTTCTCGAAAACGCCTGACGGCGTCTCATAAAGTTTCATATAGGAACTCCGATGGCATTAGCTGCATATCTAATGGAACATCCATCATCAATAAGTGCCACACCACACGCAACATCCTCAGCACTAAGACACATTTTTAAACTTAATATTGAAAAAATTAAAAGCCGGAGACTAAGAAATGTGCTGCAAGAAACGGCACTGAACTAATGATACTGAATAAACATTTTGATTCCATAGAAAGTAAACATTGGAATCTAGAATCATTTCATTGAATTAAGGGTTATTGTCCTCTATATTAACATTCCTAATTGAAAACAAACAAAAAGATTACCTATTTATTCATTAAAAACAATAGACCTATCCAAAGCAGAAATATTTTTAGATGAAAACATGAAAAAATCAAGTGGGTGGAAATTTTTGCCTGTCAGTGTATATATAAAAAGATGCAATGATAATATATATTTTATAATATAATATATTAAGTAAATGATGCTAACAGGAGAGACTTTTATGTAAATATATGTAGGAATTAGACCTTTATAATCTCAATTAATAAAATAATTGTAAAATTATTCAAATTTTTGCCATTGTGTCATCATTAGGGATACAATCAGATATTTAAACATTATGTCCATTTTTATCTGAAATATATATATCAATTGATTAAATAATTTTTTTATTTCTGATTGTATCCCTGACGATGCCAGAAGTGGCCAAAATGTGGTTAATTTTACAATAGGGCGAGCGCACCAATTATAGACCAGGGAGCCCAGTGATGGACAGGTTGGACTTCGAATGCAAATAATAAGCTTCCTTGTTGATTTAAAGGTTCCAGTTTTTTCTATATTGAAGACCAATGCCCTCTATTGACAACTATATGAGCAAAGTTCCCCCCAAAAAATTTTTAAATACCTGTCATTGTTGGTTCTACAGTGCTCTTGAGATCAGTGTGTTTTCATACCTTCCTACTAACTGTTTTGCTAAGAGTAAGCTGGACATTTATATTATCATATCTTTAGAGTGCAAGAAAAGCTCTAAATTTTTCTGAGGTATGTCCATTACACTAGAACAACTGAAGTTCAGTATGTCCATTGCTAGTGCAAACAGTTTTTTTTTTTAAATGGAGATTATACCTAAATAACCGAATATTTTTTTTAATTTGAATGGAAAAGGGAGACTCTAGAGATTCTAAATGTCTAACAGAGAAGTTTATAACTATAATGATTACAGTGGCATAAGCAAAAAAAGACAAAACTCTCCTTAGCTACGTCCATGGCTTACTCTAAATTATTTTATTAATTGAGACTGTAAAGGTCTAATTTTTAAAAATAAATAATAAGTTTTATAAGAACTATAACAGTATTGAAGATAAAGTTTAAATATTTAACATCTTTTATTATCTTCAGGATGATAACTCTCTTCAAATAGACGAAACTGGATCTGCCTACTCCCTCGCTGGACCATCAGTGCAACTTGACAGCAGTCCAGGTAAGACTTATTGTGCAATATTTGCTATTTAATGTCAAACCAGAATTTTAGCAACAGTTTTATATCATGATACGATTTAAATGTTATAATTTTTGCACATTTTCTGTTAAATTCCTATTAAATATTTAGTCCGCTGCAGTACAGACTCCTTTTTATCAAATTATTAACATCTGCCTTTAAATGGGGTGTGTACCGCGTATTAATACAAAAATACGGATTTTAAAAATAAATGTTTTTGTTAATAAAGAAGATTATCCCATTTTAAGTGCACGTTACGTTATTCAGAAAGTAATTGGATCATAAATGTCTGAGCCTATGTACTTTTCATAAATGTTTATTGATCCGAATAATTTTATTTTATTGATAGATGTCTAATAAGTTGCTTCAATTTCTGTTAATATATTAATTATTTCCTTGTTTATTTGTTTATTATTGTTGTGTTATTGGCAAAAATCTCAAATGATCAGCCACTACTTTTCACTATACAATTAGGTTTTTAATTTCACTATCTGATTGTGGTGTATGTAGTATGAAAATGAGATATAAAAGGCATTTTGAAAATTATTTTATTAATGATTCATTAATTAGCCTTGTGAATGAACGAACATTGAAAAAGTTGAATTCCCATATATTGACAATTATATGTATAGACAATTTATTAGAGCTTAGTGGTTGTGGTTGGTTCTTGCCAAGAGAGGGAAAATACAAGTTTTTATTGGTCGAATTAGTAGAAATTTTAGTAGTTATATGTTCGAATTAAAAGAGTTAAGTATTATTATTGTACAAATGTATTGATAAATTACTTCTTGATTAACTATTCTCTGACTGAGAATTTAAATTAGTTAATTGTTTAAATCAAAAAAATTGTATAATGAAATAATTCACGTTACGATAATAAAAGAATTATTTATTTTGAGATCTAACAATTATTAATACAAAAGAATACTTGTTCTGATACTGGTAGGGGGAACTAGTCTGGTAAGTAGGCCACATGGGTCGATCATTTTTGCCAACTCTTGATGGCTACTTTCAGGTAATATACGAAAATATTAGAACATATAATATTTATCTTGTTTGATAAAACTGTAGAATTATCTTTCCAATATTCTGTTGCTATAATAATTTTAGTTACATTCTAGTTAACTTCTTACTCCTTTTGAGGTTGTTCGAGTAGTTCTATGTGTAATCCGTAGCTTAACATAGCTCGGGTGTGCTCAGAGGCAAACATCTAAAGTAAGCGCCTGCCCAATTCAAATGAATTTCTTTTCCTTCCTTATTCTACTATATTTTACATTAAAATTACTAACCAATAAATAATTCTTAACCAGATGTTAATGAACATTATAAAAGTTTACAAAAACTATTAACAAAAATAATGATACAGTTTTTATTATGAAAACTGTTTATTTTTATTAAATATAACCGTAGAGAATTATTATGCGAAATTGGCCTACTCTTATTTTCACCAATTTTAAATATTCTCCACTAATTGTTCTTAATTTAAATATCGGGCTCTGACAGTTTCATCATGCTAAAAGTATTATTGGTTAGTTCAGTTGAACTCGTAGTACTTCTCTATAATAATTTCTTTAATCTTTTATTTTATCAGCGGTTCTCTAAATTTCTTTTTGTGGCACCTTTGTCAGATAAAAGAGTTCTTTTATCCTTAAAGTAGTGATGCAATAGCATAGTTGTCCGGTTTTAGTACAATATAAGAAATTTGTTGTCTTCATATCTTTAATAATTAGGATTTCTGTTCGTTAAAATAGCAATTGTCTCCATATATGTTCAAATTAAATCACAGCACCCCTGGCATATGCTAGCTGCACCGAGTATAGACACCCTATTATAGACAGTTTCATGGCGATAGTACAATTAAGAGTATCTTTTTTGCTGTTTAAATGAAAGAGACTAAATAGTAGATGTGAAGTAAATAAACTAGACTAGTAAATGGTTGTAAAGAACATGAATAATCTTTCATCATTATTATCTTTACATTTTTTACCTTCAACAATTATTCCTGTTACGAATAATATTGAGTTTCTTTTTAAAATTTTTCGATTACCTAAATTATTTATTATTTTTCAATTTTGGGCAGGCAACGCCCCAAGCATTGCCTTGGTGTTTTACTCCTGTGTGTGTTAGGTATTTTTTAAATATTTAATCAATAGAAGCAGTTTTATAATTAGGTTTTTAAAAATCTATAATTGCTTTGATGTCTTGTAATACAGTTTTATTTATATGATAATTTATATTTAGTACAGAATATCATTAGTTTAGACCACCAAATTTCTTAAGATATTATAACCAAAGGAAATAATCCTGTTCGTTACTAAAAGCACGTATGTGATTGTGATACAAGTGGTTGGAGAAAGACCTAGCAGACACACTGAATGGAGGATCGATAGAGTGCGCTCTCCGCCTTTCCAAGGTTAGTTATATGTAACATTGCCTCTCTAAACAGCTTTTGAAGTACAAGATACTTTGAAAATAACATTTTCATTATTGTTGCTAAGGTTTTGCAAGTAACGCTGGGAGCAGTCAAAAGATCCAAGTTCTTCAGCAGTACGCTCACCTCTTATCCACGCAGCAGTATAAACAGTATTCTCAAGAGACATTAGAGAGAGCTGTTCTTGACCTTAAGTTAGGCAAATTCTCGTCCATAAGAGCCTGTGCGAGGCATCACGGCATTCCTATGACCACTCTCCGATACCGGGCTAAAGTCACGACATTCTTCTCTAGAAGCAATTGATTCAAGTTATAATTAATGATTTGTGTGCTTTGAAAAAAATCATTGTTCTTTTAATGCTTGTTTTCTGTGATATTAAGTTCGACTAATTGCATTAATATTCTCAAAGGTCAACTTGAAACTGGATTTACTTCAATAAGAATGAACTGCCGTCTTGTCAAGATATATAGTTCCTACTTAAATAAGTTCATAGTATATTGTATAATTTATATTTATAGTATGGTGATTTATGATCTCTAAAAGTTCTAGTCATTTAAGGGTTGAACACAAACGGACTATTTGTTAGAAGGTGAATCAATGTTAAATAGGTTAACTTTATTTTTTAATATATATTTTATTTTATTTACTCCCTTCTCATTCTCTGCCGATCTAAAAGACTTTTCTTTGTTATCCACAATTCTGCTAAAGCAGACCAATAGCTTTTTCCTAGCTTTAGATATAGAAAACTTCTTTTCACTGGATTTTGTGTCCGTGTCTTTTGTATTTTTAACAACCAAGACATTTATGCTTCAGATTCCAGTCGTGTCAAGGAGTGGTCTCAATTATGTTATTAAAATTCTTTCATTTGAAGCCCCATTGTTATTTTAAAAAAAAGAAAAGAAGAAAAAAAATGATACCACTACAACCAAGGAAGGGTCTTGGATTCAGTAATTTGTAATGTTTCACTCAACTGCCAGGTTTTCCCCCTTAATTAATTATTTAATTAAGAGTACCTACTTTAAAGAAGCTTGGTGTACCCTAGGAGGGTCTTCTGTTCCAAGAGTCACGATATAATGCACAGCTGATGTAGCAAAATAAAATAATTTCCTGCCACAGTCGGATTTGAACCAGGGAGGGACCATTGTGAGAATAGGAAGTCAGTGCTTTACTCTCTCAGCTACCATGCTCTTTATTGTTATTCTCAATAGTAATCAATTTCCCTAATTTTCTCTTTTTCAATTAAACAGTTCAAATTTGACACTCCTACCAATAAGTCTAGGCTTGGAGGTAATAGTGCTTGTTATAGATTAAAGGTAGAGTTAAGCTTCCGAATCAATAAGAATATAATTTCTCCCAGCTGTTGTCCTTTTTTCACTCTATTTTTTTAAAGTACTATAAAATCTATTTTTATTGAAAAGTGATAAGTGGTAGCGAAGTAAAAAAGACCCTAACTTGTTCTAATTGAATGGCTCTTACTAACTTATAGTAAGAATAGATTTGTTTATAACAAAAGATTATAACCCGTAGAATTCGATCCACTATTTGATAAGGAAGTAGGTTTCTTAATCCTTTAGCCTAAATGTCATAGTTTTTGCTGAGCCCATTGAAGTATCAAGTTCTCATATATTGAAGCTGGCTGGGTTAGGAGTTCAACACCTCACCTAATTAGTTATCCTCCCTCTCCTCTTAGGTATGGTTATAATCAGGTAAACTTATACCAAAAATAAGTTTGTATTATAATAATGTGACCTTAGTGGAGGTTCTCATATTGTATAGTAGTTTTATGGTTAATGCACTTCCAAAAGTTGTACTCTTTTTGTTTTTAATATAAATTTATAGAAAACTATTGTTTTAAAAAAATATGTCGTAATTAAATTTAAAAAGTTTAAATTTTAAAATTTATGAAAGTAGAATAAATATCACCATATGTTTGCCTATGTTTCATACGTGCTTTTTCAATTACTTGTTTTAACTTATATTATTAATTGATTTTATATAATATTAATATATGAGAAGCTTTCTTTCAAAAGAGCATGTATCCATAAAATTAATACTTTTAAACCTTTTTAATTTCGATGAACTGAATTGATGGAACCCTTCTATAATTTTCTATCAAAACAAGATTAATCATTTCCTCTTGTAGGGTTTAAGTTAAGTGGTGTTTTCTCTATTTTATAAATGAATTACTGAGGAAATGGGCAGGGTTGGCAGCAATAAAAAGAGTGAAATAGTGAAAAAAAAACTATTTTTATTTCAAGCCAACGTTTCGATCCTACTTTGCAGGTCTTATTCTCAGCAGAGCTAAAACGAACAAGATACAAAAGGATATAAAAAATGTTAAAATTACATGATATTTAGATAAAATTATAAACAGTGAATAAATAAAAAAATATAAATAGTGTGTATAAACTTATTAAAATTGTAAAAAGTGTGAATAGAAAAGTACATAGGAATATTTAAAAAAATAAACTATATAAACAGAGTAAACAATGAATAACTAAGTAGCCAGATCCTAAACTGAAGTAAATAAATGGTAACAATAATTATAGATAGAGAAAATCAATTGTATTAAGGAGGATGTTCTCCCATCTAAAATTATTTTTACCATTTATTTACTTCAGTTTAGGATCTGGCTACTTAGTTGCACTTCGTTTACTCTGTTTATATAGTTTATTGTTTTTTAATATTCCTATGTGCTTTCTATTCACTTACTTCAATTTCGATGGTTTCTACAACCCAGAATAGGTCTTGGCCTCCTCTAAGAGCTTCCGCCATCCAGCTCGGTCTCGCCAGTTATGTTGGTGAATTATCGTCTTCGAGTCTGTGGCCACACCGTCGATCTATCTCAACCTGGGTCTTCCTCTTCTCCTTGTTCGGTCCAGTACCCCCTTCATACATAACTTTTCTGGGTATTCTCTCTTCCGTCATGCATGCCACATGTCCTGCCCAACTGAGCCTGCCCGCCTTGATGAACTGTAGTACATCAATGTCTCCGTACAAGCTGTATAGTTCATGGTTCCTCCTCCTTCTCCCTGCTTCACCTTCTTTAACAGGGCCATATATTCTTCTCAATATCTTTCTTTCAAAAATTAGGAGACCTTTCTCATCTGCCTTAGTTAGTGTTAAGGTTTGTGAAGCATAGTTAAGAACCGGTCTTATTAATCTTGTATAGCTGTACCTTGATTTCTTTGATGAACAGGCGGCTCTTCACACTGTCTATATATATATTTTTTATTCACTCTGTTTATAATTTTATCTAAATATCATGTAACTTTCACATTTTTATATCCTTTTGTATCTTGTTCATTTTAGCGCTGAAAAAGACCTGCAAAGTTGGGTCGAAACGTTGGCTTGAAATAAAAATAATTTGTTCACTATTTCAATCTTTTCATTACTGCCAACCCTGACAATTTCCTTACTCAATAATATATAATGATCAACCATCAGTTTTCAATAACTGAATTTCACCAAAAGCATGATTATTGCTGCATTTCATTTGAATCTTAACATTTTTCTATTATAAATTTTTGATTCGTATATATGATTCAAGCTGGGAGTTAAGAGAAAAATGTAATAAATAGATACTTTTTTGAATCCTTAAAAAAATTATCTAAACTTGAAACCACCAACTATTATTCATTTCATCGACATATTAAAACTATAATAGCCACTTTCTATTAGCTTGAATAAACCAAGTTATTTTACTTGGAAGAATTGTGATTTTTTTACTTTTATTTAGAAAAATATATTTTTTTTTATAAATTATAGGCTTGAACCACTTGGGTCATTATCATACTTAAAAAATTAATAGTTGATTCATTTATTGAATATAGGTTAAGATGGAATTACACAGCATAATTAAATTTTTTCCTGAATAAATAAACAGATAATAGATCGAAAGTAGAGACCTATGTTTGAGGTTCAAATCACTCCCTATAAATTTGTTTAACTAAACCTGTCCATCTTCTGTATTGAAGGAACCTAATCTTCCCCCCTCTACTTTATTAATTTTCTGGAGAGTGCCTATGGATTTTTTTTATTTTAATAATGATATAACATTGTATGAATTTTAAGTTAAACCCGTCCATTCCATAAATTTTACAATTTTGTTTTTCAAATACCAGGCTTATGTGTTGTTAAGGGGTTATCTGTAGTGTTCGATAAATTAAGACAAGTGTGGCATTACATATTTAATATGTTGACTCACTTGATACTTTTCATTCAGAATTCCGGTTTTAATAACCAATTTAATTATATATTGTCTATATGATATATTGTCAAAGAAAAGCCCTTTAAATTTTACCATAGATACATACAAACACGTAGCACCTAATCAAACCTTCAGATAACTTATAGTTGGCATCCTAGGCAAGAATACTATTTGTAATTAGGATATTTCTATTGTCGTTAGAATCATAACGAATTACATTTTTATATCAGACAATTAGAATTTTAGTATTCCACACATTATAAACTATATAAGAATTAGTTTTCTTTATGATTGGTTCAACTGTGATTTATACTAGTCATATATTTCTGTAATTGTGTTATTGATTTTCGATTTTATAATCATAAAACACAAGCTTTATTGAATGGGCATTATTTCATTTTAGTTTTAGTATATAGATTATATTACTGCTGGTCTATTTGGTTGACTTGTTTTGGTGTCTTGTGTTTAGTAATTTAAAACTTTAATTTTAGATTGAGTCATTTAAATAAAATTTTGTTACAAACATTATGTGTATTTTCTTGAAATCCATCCGTATTAATCTTCCTTAATTGTTTGATTTTATTTTAAATCAACAGATGATTAATTTATTTAGATATTATTATCATTCAATAAAAATTAATTAATTGTGTTTGATATATCTTGAATTTCTATCTTATTTCAGCCAGTTTTAGGGTGAGTTTAGATTTTCAGATGTGTTTAGATTTTCGAATATACAATATATATGCAAATATACAACTTTATTAATTAGATATGTATGTGTTTTATGGACTTTAAAACATTAAATTCGTATTTATATAAATTAAATTTTTATTTTAAAGAACTCGAGTCGTTTTTGTCGGTTTTCACTTCTGGAAAAACTTCCTCAGTTTCCATCTTCTCTTAGATAAAGGTCGATTTGTTGCCTTAGTTTTCTATTTCCCCATCAAAGACTGAAATTGAAACAAAACATTTAATCTTCCTGCTTTATTGTCAATATTTCCTTTAGGAGTTATTGGAAAATAATTTTGGAACAGCCAGCAATCTTGGATTAAAATTTTTTATTTAACTCTTAAGTCAGTTTTCCTTCCTTTTCTAAAATGAAAAGAAAACTTTCCATCCATCATTAATTTTTTTTTGTTAGTTCAGATAACTGAAATCTTACTGTATTTGCTAAACTATTATCCATTCTATAATTGATAATGCAAAAACTCTCAAACTTAAATATCAAAGTTCTTCACCACTCACCAGGTTAGGTTAAGTGATGTATTATTTACTGAGACCTTATACTCGTGGCTTGTTTTTTAAAACCAACCATACATTACAAAATGTCTTTCATCAATTCTATTTCCTTCCAGACACCTGCTTTTATTAAGGTTATACAATAATATTAAACAATAGGCATCTCATGTGATAAAACTGTATTATAAGACTTAGCATATCATTCTGTGTCATAAAAATTTCAGTGATATGTTGAGATCTAATTAGGATTAATTGTTGAATAGCCTATTAGAATATTACTAGTCCTTATAACTCTGCTTGTTATATTATTTAATATAAATGTTTCTTGTTTATTTGTGTAAAAAAAAAAGTTTTTATTATTGAAATTTTCATTTATTATTATATTGAGTGTTTTATTTTTCAAAATTTTGATGTGTTATGAGTTTCCTCTGTTCCAGAAGGAAATCATTGGAATTTGAACAACGGCTACCCAAATGTTATATTGACTGAAAGCTCCAACTATAGTACCACTCCATCACCTAACAACAATGAAAATCCTGGTAAGATTCAGAGGATAAGGAGATCTGATGCTGAACTTCTCAGTGCTGCCGATTCCATCTGCAAAGGAATGACTTTCCAGAAAGCTTCTCAGACCTTCAACATCCCCATGTCCACCATTAGATTTTATATGGCACGGAAAGGGATGCTGCCATCACGCAGACGTGGTCGCAGAATATCGCAGGGTTTGGAACAAGGGGGAGGACCAGGGAGTGGTATGGGCCAGCCACCACAGCAACCTCAGGGACCGCAGCCCGGCGCAGGCATGGCTCAATCCCACCAGCCCCCACCCCACCAGGCCATGGGCTATTCCCAGCAACCGCCACCAACCATGTCTCTCCAGAACCCTTATTTTAAACAAGAGCCTTCAGGGTACTAACTCTTCGCCCCACCACCACCTATTGACTATTCTAGTTATAGTAATCTATTTTCTACTAAAGAGTACGATGAAAGCCAACCATTTCAGCTCTCGTTTTCCTAGTCCTAAGCTATTCCCATATGTGTGGGAGCTATTATGAACAGTGTGTACAGTGTTACTCCTAAACATTAAGTGTAATATCAGTTAATCTGGTATTATTCGACAATCAAAAATAAAATTCGTTCCAGAAATCGATTAATACTGATGTATCATATGGGCCAAACTTACATTGATTGGTCGTAAAATTATCTGACAAGAGTGTTCGGGAGGACGTGCTTGAGATTTAAAAAAAAAAAAAATTATGGACAAATTTGATATTGATGTTTATTGGAATGGTTCGAGTATTAGCTGTGTGTATGATGATTTAAAACTCTGTATTAACTCTTATATTATTAATTTTTTAAAAGGAGTTTTCAATTTGTCTAGTGGTTCCTAGTTTGTGTACAGATAATGTCTGATGGATGAGGTAATATTTTATAAATAATATAAGTAGATATCGAAATGTAGTTACTAAAGTTTATAGCGTTTTATACATGCCATTATGACGGTCAGTTGTCGATCGTAATCACAGATTGATAAGAGTTTTTTTTAAAAAAAAAAAAAAGAAAAGAAAGAAAAAACATTTCTATGTAAAAACTGTATTTATTTATTTTGTGAATGATTTTTTTTCTCTAATTATTATTTTTTTTTATTTGTACGAGTATCATCACATGATTAGCTGATTTGTTGTAGAATTTTGTATATTTTTTTAAGGAAATTGATCTCTTATTAGTGTTTAGCTCTGGCGTAAGTGTAAATCTGTGCATATATTTATATAATTCATTTAATGTATTGTGTCTTTGTGGTTGTATGTGATGTCTACGATATTTGTGTTTTTTTAAAAATAATCTAATTTAATCTTTGATCAATTTATTTTAGTTTATTTATTTTGTTTCACTATTTTTTAAATCCTTTGATATTGTTTTAAATATCTTCATATTCTCTCCTTATTTTAAGCAATTCCATTGCATGCCAACGTCCTAACTACACCCCTTTCTCCTTCCTCAAGAAAAAACTATTAAGAGAAGTGCCGGCCTTAGGATATGGCACCTCTGGGCAATGACTCCCAGGCAATGAATTCCATTATTTCTTTTCAGTTAAAGAAATAATGGAATTTTTATTTCTTTAACTGGTTTATAATATGTAATATTTTAATTTCATTTGATTTAACATTTCATTTCTATAAAACAGTCACTAACATTAATTATTATCACTTTTTGTATTTATTTAAAATTTTGAACAAGTTACGAGCATCTTTAAGATCAGCCAGCGCCCCGGGACAAATACTCCGGTTGCCCTACCCTAAGGCCGGCACTTATTAAAAGTTACTATTCAGTAGATATTATATATTGAGTTTTAGTAATTTAAAAAAAAAAAAATCAAATGACAGTTTTTCTTTCTGAACAATTGTCTTAATTTTAGAAGGATAAATTTCTATATGTCAATAGCAGTTACGTCTTTACCAATGTGTCTTCTATTTTATATTGTCACATAGTTCCTCAAGTTTTTGCCTGAAAGAGTAATGTTTAAGGATTTTAAATTGCTCAAAGGTGAAATTATGTTGTTTTTAAAAATTAAGTTCTCAAAGGTACTGGGCCTTTAAAGAATCAAATAATTGAACGATCTTAATTTGAAAAAGGGAACTTATAATGTTTTAGTATTTATTTTTATTTTTAATGTTTTAATTGTAATGTTTAGTATTATAAATTTTAATTTTATGGTATTTATTAGAGTTTCTAATTTTTTAAACAGTGATAATTAATGTGTCGTAAAGTCAATTTCGAAAAAAATTTAATTATCCAGTTCCCTTTTTTAAACTTGACCCATATTTTATGTTTTTCTCTTCCAGCAAAGCTTTGAATAAGAAAGACTTATTTTGAAATATTTATAATTTAAAAATTTAATCAATGTTTTATAAAGCTTAATTAATGTATTGAATGTTTCTTTTTCTTTTAGTGTATTTTAATATTAAATGATTATGTATATATAGTTTTACCATAAATTTTAGGTCATCCAAAGCCTTTTATCGTAGTGGTCTGTAATTATTGCATTAAAATGTGGAGGCCACCTTGTTTCGCAGAAAATACTCGCATCTTAAGACACATTTTCAGTCTTGGCTCCAATTATTAAACAAAAAAAACTTTATTTTTATATATATTATATATGTATGTAAAAGTTGAAGAGATTTTACCATTGTTTTCCCTAAATACTAAGAATTACCATAACAGGGAATAATCATCATTTATACAAAAAATAATAATTATAAAAAAAATTAAATATGAAACTAATTTTCATATGGTTGATTGTGTAAGATATCTATTACCTATAATTTAACATTTTAGCAAGTTTTGTAAATAATTCATTTGTAGTCTATTGTAGTTGTAATATTGATTTTTATGAACTATTAATGCCTTCGGATTATTGAAACTGAGGATATTTTAAGAAACGATATAAAAGTTATTATTATGACGTGTGTCATACTGTTTGAATGCTTATATTTATATTATATATATTTTTTATCACTTTTTTTGTCGATTAAAAATAAAATTGTAAATTTTACCATTTATAACTGTTGACAGTCACTTTTTAAAACACCAATTAAATTTTATAATAAAGTGAATTACAAATTCTTCAAGAATTGTGTATTCAGAAATAGTTTTTTAAAGGCGGCTTTTGCGAGAAAATTTCTGAATATCACAATTCATCAATAGGTATGTGATATATATGAATCTCTGGCGGTTAGAGGTTAACTTTTTAGAAACACCATTTAGGTAAAAACCTCAGGTTTTATTTACAATACCTCAATTATATTTATTTCTGTTTTGTTTTTAATTTAATTTGGCCTTGTTATTATCGTGTGTTTATGGTTATCAATGTAAGTTTTTTTTTTAATTGTTTATTACAAGCGTGTATAAGATTACCCCATCAATTCTGGTCACTCCTTTTATTATAATTTTTGACGATAATAAGTATTCTACGTACTTACTCGATGTTCAATACCAATTGGATAACATAATACCGTTCAAATGGTAAAATGCAAAGTTCCTGGTTAAGTGTAATTAGTATTTAGTATTTATATGCTGTGTGTAAAACTTAGTAGTTTGTAGACGCTAGTATTCTAAATATATATTGAGAAACAAATAACCATAAAATATATAAATGTATGTATATTCAAAAATACATGAACACACTCAAAAGAATAGAAATGTGTTGAAAATTATATTTCTAGTGCTGAATGTTTTCTTGCTACTCTAATGCTATATAAATAGAGTTATTGTAGAGTAAGTATTATTGCAATAAATTTTAAGCTTTTTTAACATGTGTCTTAACTACTGACGCAAACAATGTCTATAATAGTTTCTTTTTTTCTTTTTTTTTTGTAATATTATTATTAACATAAAGAAATATATATATATTTAAATTGTATTTTTTCCTGATTTTCCAACCTTTTTTTTAAAGAATTATTTGACAGTATATTGATATTATCTATCTAATATTAATAATTATTAATATCAATGTTATATTTTTTATGTTATATTTTACTTGAGAATGATCATTTAAGTGTCTTGAAATAAAAGTAAGAACATTTCATTCTTTTATATGAAATACAAAATAAATTTACCCTCTGATTTAGTCATAATTGGATCGGATCCTGATGATGTGAGCTATATGATGAGGAAGTTGTAGTATGTATTATGTAGTAAGACATGTATTCCAGATGGGGTCTAAAAATCAGTAAAAGTAAAACAGAGTGCATGGTTTTCAACGCTCCAAATTTGCCCCTTGAAATTGATGACTGGACACTAAATGTCAGCCAGCAGTTCAAGTACCTCGGATACTGGCTATCTTCAAAGGGAGGTCGTTAGGTTGACATCGAACATAAAATAAATGAAGGGAACAGAATAATAAGTTTGATAAATTCAACCTTAAGAAATAAGATTGGAAACTTCAAAGAAGATATACCATTGCTTTGTAGAAAGCGTAGCCACTCACAGATCAGGAGTTTGGACAGTGACAAAAAAGATGCAAAATAAGTTGCTTTCCATGTAAATGGATTTCTGGAGAAGAAGCTGTGGCATATCTAGAATCAAGCGGATCCCAAACGCAGCTATTACAGACAAGGTTGGATGTCAAAAGAACATCCTTCACCTGATCGAGACCAAATGGTTAAAGTGGTATGGCCACTTAATGCGGATGGATAAGAACCGCTGGCCAAAGAAAATTTATAACTATATGCCACCTGAAAGAAGGAACTGTGGAAGGCCAAAGAAGAAATGGATAGAGGGCATAGAGGAAAATATGGCAGCCAGAGGGCTCTGTGAAGGAGATTGGATGGACAGGGAGCAGTGGCTTTTGGGTATTGGGGATATGACTCCTTAAGTTGTGTAAAACCCAAATATAAAAAAAATAATTTTGTTAATAGGATTCAATTCTTTCACCTAGAGTTTAAGAGAATAATGATCTTAAACCAATAGATATTAAAAGGAAATTAAAAGAAAAAAAAATTTCCAAAGAGATTTAAACTAGAGCTTATACTATTTATTTTATTACATTTGTGGAAACAAAGTTGAACATTTGCAACAGGAGGCCAGCAATGAGTATAAAAGGATGGACTGATGGGTTCAAATAATAGCTTTTGCTGGCAACATTGAAGTAATGGTGGATAGTCACTTAAAATTATAGTATGCATGAAGAACAATACAAAAACAGCTTAAGTATTATTGATGCAGAGCTATGCTGATTAGGAATTAATGAAACCATGCACATAAGTAATTCAATATTCTAAAAAGTGTTGGATTTTCATGAATACTCAAGTAAGATCTAGTAGGAGATAATTATCAAAATGAGGGAAGGTGTGTTCATTTTGGACAAGTATCGATGTAGTAGTTCAATGGCTTTGATATTTTTAATTTTTGAAAAGAGTAAGGATTTAATTGTTGAACTGTAAATGAATAAATAATAATAACAATAATATATAATATAATAATAATAAATTGTTGAACTGAAAATCAATAAAAATTTCAAGTAAAGTGTTATAAATGATCTAATTTATAATTTTGTGTGATTATTTACACAGGTGGATCTTTGGAGGGGGTGGGGCCTTTCAGCCAGAAGCCCACAAAAATGGTAAAATATAACCAAATTTGGTTAAGTGGTACGGTAGAAAACCATGGCCAATGAACGCTGATTTTTACCAAATTTTTCTAAAACTGAGAAATAATTCTAAATGTAGTCCTATAGCTTGGAAATGAGTTCACTAAGAGGGAAAGCTCATAGAATCAAAGTTTTAGGACATGAAATTCTTCTTCGACTGAGTACCAAAAGTATTAATGTAGGTTACTTACTTCGCACAAAATCTGTAATGTCGCGATGGCTTGGAATTGGTAATGAAGGTATGTATCATTTTCAATATTTTAGCAGTATGAGTGTTTATTCTACTGAGTTATTCTTGTTTAGTGTGCTTTATGCAGTATAGACCTCCTTTCCTCCTCATGGCAGCGAGTCATCTTGAAAAACGAATTAAAAAAAAAAAAAAAACGATCTTTACGAAGAAACACTAACGGATCCAGAATTTAATATTTTTTTTTGGGCGGGAGCTTCAGCCCAAAAGATTTTTTTTTCAAATATATAACGATAATTATTTTTTTTAAAAAAGAAAGAAATTAACTACCTATATAAAATGGTGTTTAAGTCATTCTTGAAGTCCTATTAAGTGTAATTACACTAACAATAATACTTAAGAGGTAGTTTTTAAAAAAAATTTCTATATAACAAGTTTATATTTTACCATCTTGGGGGGGGGAGGGGACTTCAGCCCGAACCCCTCCTCCCCCTTAGATCCGCCTGTGCGAAGAAATAAATCCCGATTCAAGAGATATAATTGACCTCCGTTAAAACTGTTGGTCTTCAGAAAACGCAGAATGTCATGCCATACAGCTTTGTTTCTATGCGTTTTTCCTCTCAGACTACTCATTTCCAAGCCACAGGGCCATTTAGAGTAATTTGTCTCAGTTTTTGACAAATTTGGTAAAAATTAGCGTTCGTTGGCCGTTGTTTTCTACCATACCACTCATCCAAACTGTTAAGTTTAGATATTAGTTCGACACAAAATTTAACTTTCTTTAATTTCTTAACTAGTACATTTTTGGCTTCGATGCACCGTTTAGGAGTTGTGTGTGAGTTTTATCTAGGTTGCTCGAATTAGAAATTCAGGATTTTACATGTTCAAACCCATATACGCAAGTTAAAAAAATAAAAACTTTTCCCACATATTTCGGAATGGATTTCCCGTTTCGATCCTCAAGTTACTGGTCTAATATTGTCTAAATCAGCTGCCATTTTTTAAAGTAGACAAACTTCATATTACTTTGAATAACATACACTTTCGTAATTTACATTCAAACCTTCGCCTACGATGAGGTCGATTTTTAGGCCCTGGCTCCATGGTTACAGAAACGATCTAGAGCCAATCATAAGGTGACGCATCTGCCAAACACACAGGCAGATCTACGGAGGGGTGGGGCTTTCGGGGCTGAAGCCCCCCAAAATGGTAAAATATAACCATGTTTTACAGAAAAAAATATTAAAAACTATCTTTTAAAGTATCCTTGTTCGTTTAATTACATTTAATAGGACTTCAGGAATCACTTAAACACCATTTCATATAGGTAGTTAATTTATTTCATTTTTTTTCAAATTATTTTTATGAAGATTTATGAAAAAAAAATCTTTCGGGCTGAAGCCCTTCCCAAAATTAAATCCTGGATCCGCTAGTGGCCAAACATGATACTCTCAAACATCTCTCAGCTCTACTTTATAAACATACATTTTAAAAAACTAATAAAATATATTATATTTAGAACCAAATATATTTACTCGGAGATGATAATTGTAGATTAATTTTTATTGACATTGAGTTTATTTTTATAAGGAGGTGCGAAGTGATATTCTCGCCTTTTCTCTACTTTTATTGGGATCGGACATTGCTCCCACTCTCTCCTTGTAAGATGTTTTTGATACTTTATATTTGTAATAATTTATAATAATAATTAATTTATTATATCTATATTATAATTATCTAATTTATTATTAAAATATATATTTATATATAAATGTATATTTAGTTACTTTGGTAGGTTTTTAAGGGCTCTTAGTGTACTTACAAATGGTGTATCCAAGGATATATATAAGCCGTTATAATTTTACTATTTATTTAATTGTTAACACGTTTCGAGCAGTTTATTCATTCTCAAGTCATCTATAAATAGTAAAAAAAAAAACATTGTTCATAATTATCTAATATGCATCCAATCCTTCCAGTCCAAAGTCCTCCGAACAATATTCGATGCTCCGTTCTATATAACCAACAAAACCCTACATCATGACCTTAATATCCCATTTGTCCTTGGCCTTATCCCTGAAAATTTTTCCAAATTCTTTCAGAACCTTACAAATCATCCATCCCATTTACAAATCCCCTTGCACTATCCTTATCTAGTTTCGCTCATCCTTACAATCTTCTTCGAAGATCTTTTGTATTATATATCTTGGAGTTCTGGCAATGGTCAGATTCTCCACTCAAGACATGAGTGTATGTGGCTAAAGCGCTCTCTCTCAAACATCACTGACTTTAGCACCAGTGACGCGGTTGAGAGAGTAGCGCAGGGATCTCTTGGAGTCCTGCTTTTCCTTCTATAGTTGGAGGGAGAATCCTTACTTGGGGTTCTCTGCCTGATTGTATATATGTATGTAATTTACTTATCTTTAGGTTACTTTATTTTTTATTGTACATAGTTTTTTATCATTATTTAGTTATTATTACGTTTGTTAATTTTATGTTTTCTGTATATAAGGTGTGAATGTGCTCATCTATCACTATCATTATTGTCGACGTGACAGATTATTATATTTTTAAATAAATAAATTAAAAAAACTATCTAATGATAATTACATGTGTGATGTCAATACTACTGCAAGAACGTGCCAAAATCCAAAAAAGAAAGAAAAGAAAAGATTAATGATTATTAATAACAATGTTTTTTTTTTTTTTACTATTTATAGATAACTTGAGAATGAGCAAACTGCTCGAAACTTTATTAAAAATGTATATTTTCGAGGTTTGCGAAATTTTTATAATTTTCAGCATTGTTCCATATTTTGCGGTTGTCCTATTTTCTCATTTTTACACGGTTTTCGACATTTTCATCGTTGTTTTCACAGTTTCAGTATAGTCACATATTTCGAGGTTTCGTCATTTACGCCCTTTTCGCGATTTTTAGTTTTAGTTATTTTCTTAATTTTTCATCATTTTCACAGATTTTAGTATGGTCACATATTTCACGGTTCGCTATATACTTCCTTTTCGCGTTACTTTGAAAGTCGAATAGCTGACAAAGATAAAGCATAGAAATAGGTATTTGACTATTTTATCACGATCTAAATGTTACTATTATTTAAATTTTCATT